AAATTCCGTCGAATTTTGACTAAAGGTTCTTGTATAGCCGGCGGGGATAATTTGCTTTTGGCCTCTTGCCTGAAATGTTCAAGGCGTGCCTTCATCTCCCCTGGTCGAATGAGAAGTTTGATCCGTTTATCAGCTTCTTCAAACATGGTCTCGACATCTTGATCGACCAGCCGTTTCCCCTGAGCCAACTCTGTCATAATTGCTGGAGGTGGTCGCTCATCATCAGTGGCAGCTGTGTCCTTCGGCCGCCACTTAGGGGCCGAAGTTTCTTGGGCTGCTCGTCGGCGAGCCATGCAATCTATCCGTTGATGTCGGCGTTTCTGAGATTTGGACAACGCAATGTAGACACCCTTCGAAGAATGGTATGTATACCAACGTTGATCTCTAGGCTCGGGAGGCTTGAAGGTCTTTTGGCTCCGCGATGATTCTGAACTGCTAGAATTACGCTTATAGTAATCATCGTCATATAATGAAGCATCAAAATCGAGGCGCCGCCTGACCGGGGGTGTCTCTTCCATCCGTACTTTAGGACCGAGCCTCTCAAAAACCCCGTGATGTTGGCCTTCATTGGTCACCTTTTGCCGAGTTGCGGCCACAGGTTGCGAAGAGGGCTTCTCCTCTGGTTCACTGTCGACCTTCGCTCTACATTTCCTGCACAAAACCGCCGTCCCACTGTCTTCATCAGTGCTATAATCCATCATAGGTTTGACAATAGCGGGCCCCGTTAAAACCGTAGGTGGTTTGTTTGAACGAAAATCGGCCATGAACCGTGGCCGAACATTCTGATTCCGCGGGCATTGCGTCTCGACCACTTCGGCCTTGCCTTTCCCTTTGTCCTTGGGTAGGTACGCGTCGACCATATTTACTGTTGCCGTGGGGAACGGATCAGTATCAACACTCATCCTCTTCTCGGGAAACTTCAGTTTGCCATTATCAATCCAGCTTTGGACGTTATCGCGAAATACGACGTAATTGTTTGTCGTATGTTTGCTCGAATTGTGGTATTTGCAATACACCTTTCCTTTAAGCTCTTTGGCCTTAGGAATGTTATGACCAGGCCGAAGCTTAATGATTCTTGCTGATAACAGTTGGTCAAAAATTGCGTCAGCCTTGGTAATATCAAAAGTATAAACCTTTGACGGTTTCAATGCTCCTTCAGTGGCCGAACGACTTTTGGCTTCTCTAGAATCAACCTGAGTCAATGCCTTGCAAACGTATGGCTTATCTATCACTATCTCAGCCGCATCTACACTAACGCATTCATCCTCGGTTGATGCATAATTGACAGTAGGGTTCTTGTAAATCGTTCCCCGAGTTGGAGTCTTCGAAGTCTTTTCCTCGCGGAGCAAATAATCATATTGCTCAACATGTTGGGCTAATTCGTACATATCCCGAAAATTTGCCCCCAAGAATTTCTTTTTGTATTCAACGTCGAGGCCGTTCAAAGCAAGCCTAACAAATTCGACATCGGGTAAAGGCACTCGGCACCAATTCCTAGCTGATTTGAACCTGGTAAGATAATCCATTGGTGACTCATCAGATGCTTGAGCCATCCGTGCTAATGAAGAGACTGACATCTCCATCCCCGGCCGATAAAACTGCTCGTGGAATTTCTCGACCAACTCCTCCCAGTTTTGGACGGAATTAGGAGGAAGATTGATGTACCAGGCAAATGCCGAGCCGGTCAATGAAAAGTTGAACAGCCGTAACTTATGGAAATCATTATTAACATCTCCGCATTGCGCGGTGAAACGAGCCACGTGTTCCAACGAAGACAGGGACGATTCATCGGCGAAAAGACTAAAATCTGGGATCTTGAAACCCTTCGGGTATCCAAACGTTTCCACGTAAGCTGGGTATGGATGAATAAACTTGGGAAACTTCGGCCCTTTCTTCATGGCCGAGTCAATCATCCGCTGAACTTCGGTCATATCAGCAGGTGTGCTTCGATCCTCTGGTCGGTTCTGTCTGACCTACTATTCGACCATCCTCCTTTTTCCAGGTTAATTGGTTTGAGCGGAGCAGGAATAGGCTCGGCCGGTACAATCGATACCGGGTTATTTCCTGGTGGACAATGTTGGAGAAGCTCGAAAGGCCTGCTGCCACCAACTTTACTAACCAGCATTTCGAGCAGCCTGGTTTGTCGATCATTGGAATTGAGTATCGCGTCATGCAGCTTGTCAATGCCTCGACTGAATGTCTGCTCGACTGACCGAGACTGCTCGTCTAGTCGCTTTCGGAGAAACGACCTCATTGGTGGGTCAGATCCTTCACCACCATCCTCATCACACTCCTTTACTATCCCTTCATTGAGAACGCATGTGTTTCTGTTAGGGATTTCTAAACCACGGAGTTGACCGCCGAGATTAACTTCTCTATCTCGGCGAGTCGCGCTCGTGGACTCAGGTGTCACAGCGCTAAGGGGATTCTGCGCCTGCGGCACACTTTGTCCCAGGCTTTGATTCGGCAAATCGGTTGTCGACTTTCCCATAGTTGTTTTCTTTTTTACCGATCGTGTTTCTATTGGCATGAACTTCGTAGTTTAGCACTAGGTCCCACTGGGCGTGCCAAAATGTTGACCCTAAAAACTACAAAGCCTAAGTGGCGCGCAGGCCGAGTAATTAATGAGCTAACTACGTCCTTCGTTAAATGCGGGGCGTGCCAACTCGTCGGCCGAGCTCGGCCGATGAGTAAATTTGTTGATGTTGCGTTGGGTCGCGCTACTGACTTCTGCGTCTTGCGATTGCGGCCGAGAAAGGAACACGTCTCGGCCTCTTGGGCTCTCGAACCTGAAGACAAGGTTACTATTCTTACGAAGTTCAATATCAAATTCGGCTTTCAATGTGCCGAATGTAATAACTGTAACACCTCACTTCGCCGAGAAGGCTGATGAGATGACCTCGACCAATAAGGGTTCAGAAACCCTTTTCGACCGAGACTTGGATAGGTAATCAACCGTTCTCGCCGCAGTGCTGTTGATGCCAACGGAAGATACTGCAAGACCGATCGATTCTACGGTGACAGAGCTATCTATGCCGACTTAAGATATCACCGGTTGCTTCCACAGTGTTGTTGATGCCAACGGAAGATGTGTCAGCGAACAAGGAAAATAAAAATCTCAAGTTGTTGAGAGAGTTTGCGCAGGGCAATTGTGTGTTGATTTGTAGGGGGTTTGAAGGATGTGCAACCTCTTCTATTTATAGCAATGGCTCCCCCCAAGGTCGAGTTAAAAACCTACTCGGACTAGGTTTTCTTCCCTTGATCAGCATCAACTCGACCAGTCCTACCTTCACTAGGACTATGAACCTAGTCCCTAACTGAGCCGGATTCACTTCCGGGTCCTGCCGAGACTCCTTATTGCACTAGGATTCGACCTCTTGCGTTATGACCTAGCCGACCTAGGTTTGGAGGCCCACGTACTGAACAATCCATGGTATTCTTGCCGCAAGGCCTTCCGGGCCGAGAATGACCCTACACTCGGCCCAAACTGTTATTTTGGGCCCAAACACAATCCCAAACTAAAATTTTGGTATTCCCAATTTTCGGGATTCCCGATATATATTTGGTATTTCAAGATGATTCGATATTCTCAAATTTCATACAAATTGAAATAGCAATCATTCATACCAAGTTAAATTAGCATGCAACCAAAATAACATAAGTAACAAACCCAAAAGCAAAAAAATAAGTTACAAACCTAATATGTTCGAAAACTAACAATACAATTTTTTTTTATTTTGTGTTGAAGAAATATACACATTTGTGGGAGATTTGTACCGCCAGATGTGGCAATAAAGGACTCTAGTTACACCTGTAGACCACACCAATTATATTGCTACTAGTATTTAGCAACAGTTAAATGTATAATAATATATATATGTATGTTTTGAATGTATAGATGTAAGATAAAAGGCATCACAAATTCAAACAACATGATAACCCCTTTTCCTAGGTCGTGTCTCAGTGTGTTTGAATGTACATTATAGAAAAGTGCTACAATGGAATTCAAAACGCTTGCATGCATAAGCCACTGATTAGTAGGCTTGTTCTTATAGTTTTTGATGAAACCTCAACGGCACAAGAAAATTTATTAATCATAACACAAAAAGATACAAAATAATTTTCAAAACTAACTACAACACAAGTTATAAATTAAAATATGAAACCATAAAGCGTAGTTTTTATTTATTGGATCTTACCCTAGGCATAACATGGAGTCCAGCTGCATTGCTTGAACGAAATTTTGATATGTTTCTAATTGCAGCCCTTTTATTTAAGTGGCCATGTCCCTTTTTCTTCTAACCCGGAATTTGCACTTCAGTACAAGTTGCAAGCATAAAGAAGCTAACCTTTTGCTATTTTATTTTATGTTGCAGGCTGCTTTTATATATATATATAGGTTCGGTATAGGATTACCGAAAAATTGAGTAGACAATACCTAATTATGAGCCAAAATTTTGGGATTGGTTCAATATTTCATCCCGATATTTTCAGGCATTTTGGGACTTTTTTGGTTTGGAATCTAGATTTTTTTTGTTTGGTTCGAGATTTTTGGGAATTTTTTCCAGTCCTAAGTGAAACCATTGACATTTAGAATTTGAGAGGGGATAACACCGACACCAATGCTATGGAACGGATCCTACCCTAGAATACAAGATACCGATTGTTCCTAGTAGAGGTGGGCACAGTTCGGTCAGGTTGGTTATTCAGCTGGAACTCGGCAGCGAACCGACGGAATAGAAAAAAGTCAGTTAAATAGGCCAGCGAAGTCCACGAGTGGCGAAGTACTGAAAGACATTGGAGACGACATATAATAAGACAGAAATATTTTAAACGTGTGATATATACATTATTGGACGTGTGATATATGCAATGCATGGTACCATAAGTCACTAAGAGCAAGATGGAAGATTAGTTAGGCGGCGGCCACAAAAACTCATACAATTACAAAGGTAAGCTTAGGTTAAGTGATTAGGGTTTCTGTCAAAAGTGCCTGGAGCTATAAATTAAAAGTTTTGCTTCCAAGAGAGCTTTGCATTGCACCATAATGTTATACAATAAAATGTACAAATATGAACGAATACATCTCACAAAAGAATTTTGCGAAATCAACAAAGGGTCCTAATTAAATTAGAAGCTGGATAAATGATCTGATCCAATGTCTGATCTAATGCGGGAACTATCAACATGGCATGCAAATGATTCTGCCAACTCTACTGCATCTTGAACCCTAAGTCGTGTGCCCTGCTGCCCCACCACTGTGGCTGCAACCCTTGCCGCTAGAGTACCTATTCCTTTCAAATCTGACACTCCTCGTAGAATACCATACAAAATTCCCGACGCATATGCATCTCCAGCACCACAAGTGTCCGCTGGTACACATGGAGAAGGAGGAATATATACAGCTTCTCCTTTTACACCAATGTAAGACCCTCTTGGTCCATCAGTAACTGATGACAGGGGAACAAAATGGCTCAGATACCTTGTAGCTGAAACGGGGCTCTCCTTTGAGGAAAAATGGCAGAATGCTCTTGCTTCGTCACTGTTTGCAAAAACAATGTCCGCATAGTTTCCAACAATTTCCCTGAATAAAGTTAAAATCACGTAAATCACTGTTCACTCCACGAATGTATACCAGAACACTCCCAAGTCCCAAATATCTTAACCACCATCCATGCATGCTACATGTCACAAATGGTGTAGTATTGACAAAACCAAACGTCCAATATTACAACACTATTTATCAATTATACTGCTAAGGAATTCATACACCAGTCTCAGATGAGGACATGAATTCTTTCCAATACCTTACACACAGGGACCCACAAGAACAATGATGGTAACTTATCATCGAGTTTCTAATGCCTAAATTATTTTAAAACTTTATTCCCTATATGCAATATAACAGAAATCATAACATTACATTCAGTTGTGTTTTGTGTTAAAGCATGAGAGCCACCACAATATATGGCTTATTGAGTAAAGTTTCAATGTCATATATAAAATGTACAAGGATCATGCCGTAAACAAATTAACAATACCAGAAATCATCATAGTGTCTCTCAATGCAGGAGACATCTGATGCTGTAACTGCAACCAGGGCACCGCTCTTGCGTGCTACTTCACATGCTTTTGTAATTGTTTTGATTGTATCAGGAAGTTCAAATAAATAACCCTCGACTACAAATATTTTTGTATTGCAAACTGTGCTAGCCAAGCATGGATCATAATTAACAGTTGAAGATGTACCCTGGGACCATTAAAACAGGCATATTAGGGTCTCATTGATTCACCTCATAAAAGAGATACATGAATAAATCATAAATACTGACGAAAGAATTAACAGCAAGAAAAGAACATAAGTGTCAGTAATATCGTAAAGCTTTTAGTCATCAAAACATATTTGACCTGATATGCAAGCATTGTACGCTGGGCATCTGAAGTTGTGAGAACTATCACTGTCCCTGTTGTCCCATCCTTGATAGGTTCAGAAAGAAAATGCAAATTCGCACGACGTAACTTGGTCCTATACATACGTTGTGAAAGATTTTAAATTTTGTCAGATCACTCAACAAAATATTAAATAACCTATAGAACAGTAACCAAATAGTTGAAATTTAAATACAAGCTGAGTGCCAATGACTGATATGGCAACCTTCAGTTATGTGATAATTGCTATATTACAGGTGATTTCAAAAGAAGAAGATAGGATTGATCCCTATATTGTAGTGATAATCGAAAAGCAAAAACCCTACAGAATTATGGTTGCAAGAGCCTGACCTGTAAAAATCACCCAATGGATCACTCCCGACACTCCCTGCCATAGCTACATTCAAGGTAGAGCCTGCAATGGAGCCACTACCAAGCCTTGCCAAGGCCACTAAAGTGTTGGAAAGAGACCCACCAGCAGCAGCCTTATAGCTACAACCATCCATAGCTCTCAAAACTCTACCTCTCTCTTCATGATTCACAAGCTTCCTTGTTCCCTTTTCCAATCCCAATTTCTCCAGGAACTCGTCATCAACAGTCCCAGAAAAGTCGACCTAGGAGGACATCATAACAAATGCAAGAATTAGTTTATATCATTCCATACCAAATTAACATCTTTGCACACTTAGGTCAGCTTAGTACGAAGTACCACTCTAATTCCATTAGAAACTTGAACAGCATAAGCTATAAGATTCAAAATACAATTTTCATGCCCACCCGTTAATTCGCTTGGCTACAACAGGGCCTGGGGTGCAGGTAAACGCAACTCTTAACCACATGAGATGAAAGCGATTTGCAAATAAAGGCAAAGAGTTTTGAAATAATAGTAATCAGTTTTTTTTGTGAACACGTATGTGGCGTGTGTGATTTGAAAACAGAAGACTGAAATTACAATCCTTGTTGTTTCTGTTTGGTTATATGAATGCTGTCATAAATCAAATATCAAACAAAGGGCGGGTGGTTGTTTCCTGATTTCGATTGTTTTCCTAAAACTGAAGCAAAGCAGCAGCATTCTAATTTGTAATTCGTAACCGGAACACAGAATTAAGCAAGCAAGCAAGCATTGAAAGAGAAGAGTAAAATTACCATGGCTTGTCCCAGGCCCAAAACGTCCCATCTATCAGGCGACCCAAAATCCCCGTCGGCATATTCTTCTTCCTCCTCATCAGTATCAGCAGAAGGACTTTCATCTTCATCATCGTCATCAGCGCTCTCAAAGTGATCAGGTGAGCGAGCTCTAAAGCTACAGCAGCAGCAGGAGGAGGAGGAGGCGCTGAGAAACCCACGTGGCCCTCTGGTCATGGTTGCGGTTGCGGGGGTGTGATGGAGAAAAGCAAAGGCGGCAGAGGAGCTGGAGGAGGAGGAAGTAACTCTATTTTTTGAAGAAGGACGCGGTGGATAAGGCGCGGGGAGAGTGGAAGGGGGGTATAAAAAGACAGAAATGCGAGGGGAATGCGGAGAATAGAGTGGTGGAGAGCAGCCCAGGGCCAGGGCCGCACTCGTGGCGCCGATTATGTGCGGAGGAGAAACAACAACCGATACAGACATCCTCGCTCGCTCCTCTCTCTATCTATCTATCTATCTATCTATTTACTTCTATCGAAATTTTCAAGCACTCGTGCCTCCTATTCGGAAGACCTCTTCAACCCCAACTTCTTCAACTTGTTTTCATTCCGTTCAACCGTCAAATCTTCTAATCTTTTCAACTTTCCTTGCATCTTTTTCCATTTATTTTATTTTATGGTTCTTTTCATTTTTTGTTTCATAATTTGATTATTATTTGTATTTGGGTTGGGTTGGGTTCGGCTACTATCCAGTTCACTCATCCCCTGGCATTTTTAGCTTCGGCCCAACCCATTAGTCCATCTCCATGATATGGTAAAGACAAAAGTACTTACTACGTTTCGCGGTCCCATAGGGCCACGTACACAAAATAAACGTAATTGCGGTTGGCCTTCTCGCGTTTCGCCCTCTCGCGAGTCCATACGATACGAAGCCACAGATAGACAGAGACACAGAGAGGTGAGCCCCCGGCCGATCCAGAATTTTAGTGTCAATTACCACTTAAATTTTATACTTTCGCATTGTTTCAATTCATCTTGCTGTAATCAATAACTGAAATTGTGGAGTAAATCTGTCTGATGCATCGATCTGGCTGTTTATTTCTCCATCTCTAGGTGCTCGAATTGTTGAAATTCTGAAACTTGATTTTGTGTAATTAGAGCAATGGACCATGCTGAGCTCACCACCGAACAGGTTCGTCCTCCTTCCGATCACTTGTTGCCATACTTTCCATGGGAATTGGGAATTACAATTCGCAAATCTCATCATTGGATCTGTCTGTTTTGCTTTGTTTTGTTTTGTTTTGTCGAAGAAGCTGTTTGATTTCCCATTTTTTCCTTGTCAAGGTTTTGAATAGGGACATCCCATGGGAGACTTACATGACCACTAAACTCATCACTGGAACCTGCCTTCAGCTCTTGAGGCGCTACGATAAAAGATCCGAGAGCTACAGATCACAGCTTCTCGACGATGTAATTCCGCCCCCTGCTCCTTCCATGTCTGTTTTACTTTTGCTTATCTTCATTTGTACATTCATCCCACACTACATGTTGCTCGATGCTGCCTGGCTTCATTCCATGCTTTGCTTTTCCTTAATCTTAGTGGAGATATCTTCTGGATTGGCTGACAAAAGATTGATTTTTCTTTGTCTTCTGGTTTGTATCTCACAATGATGTTCGCAAGCTGTTCAAATGTGGCAGGATGGCCCTGCTTATGTTCAAGTGTTTGTAGGCATTTTACGTGATATTTTCAAGGAAGAAACGGTGGAATATGTCCTTGCTTTAATTGATGAAGTGCTTACAGGTAACAAACTGGAACATCTTGTGGATTAAAGATTGCACGCCTGTTCGTAAATCCATAAGCTTTTCTCTTCTTTTTTTGTAGCTAACCCAAAAAGAGCAAGATTGTTCCATGATAGTAGTCTTGTTGATAAAGATATCTATGAGCCTTTCTTGAGGTAAGCACATATTTACCAATTCTGTGACACCCTAAGTAATAGTTTTGTCTGTGCAAAGAAAAAAAAAACCACTGCATTACTGCGTTTCTTTTCAGGTTGCTCTGGAAGAGTAATTGGTTCATACAAGAGAAGAGCTGTAAGATACTTGCTTTAATAGTGAGGTACTCAAACATGACACACATCTAAAGTGAAACGCAAATATGTAAAGAATCAATAGAGTGCGCTTTATTTTCATTAATATTTCTCTTTTAATATAGTGCCAGGCCAAAACTCCAAGATGGCTCTTCTGCAAATGGAGAAGCCTCAAATTCAAAGAGAAAAATAACTACTATTGATGATGTGTTGAAAGGATTGGTGGAATGGCTGTGTGCACAGGTATGCTTTCAGCTTCAGGTTACACGTTCTACGAAATGCAATAGAGTACTTTAAAAGTTGTCGGACCAGTGATGTCCACATTTCCCCAAATTTAATCAATTATTCTGTTGATATAGCAGGTATCGCTTAGTGGTTATCATTTTGGATGATATTGGTTGTCTAAACATGCTTCTTATGGTATATGTAATTTGCAGTTGAAGAAGCCTTCCCATCCCAGTCGTGGTATCCCAACTGCCATCAATTGCCTTGCAACCTTACTAAAGGAACCTGTAGTTAGATCTTCCTTTGTTCAGTTAGATGGGGTGAAGTTGCTTGTCCCCTTAATTTCTCCAGCTTCCACCCAACAATCTATTCAGGTAACTCTTATTGTAGACAGCTTCCATATTAGTTTCTTGACTTTGTGATTTTCTTTTTTCTTACAATATATTTTGTTTCAAACAGCTTCTTTATGAAACATGTCTATGCGTCTGGCTCTTATCTTATTATGAACCTGCAATTGAGTACTTGGCTACTTCTAGAGCTCTACCACGACTCATAGAAGTTGTCAAGAGTTCCACAAAGGAGAAGGTGATGATCTTGCCTTTTGGGATGCTATATTGTTTCATTCAAGATTAATTTGTGTATACTTGTCCGTGTTAAACTTGTACTTATATCAGAGGTGTACGTGTAATTGCATCTTTTATTTGTAATATGGGTTTGGTTATTTGTGGTAGGTTGTCAGAGTTGTTGTTTTGACCCTGAGGAACTTGCTCTCAAAAGGGACGTTTGGTGCTCAAATGGTGGACCTTGGACTGCCACAAATCGTTCAGAGTTTGAAAGCACAAGCATGGAGTGATGAGGTGAAAAACCGAGAGACTGTATGCTTCTTTTGATAGTCTGCATTTTATGTGTCGGACCAAAAGGATCGCATTCAGACTAACTTGGTATAACAAGTTAAATGAAAGGAACCAACTAGCTCGTGGAGCTGTTGTTGTTCTTGTACATGCATTCTTTTAAATTATAAATCATTGGTGCAGTTTCCCTAATGAAATGAAGTTTCTTGTAGGATCTCCTGGAGGGATTAAATCAACTGGAAGAAGGTCTGAAGGATAACATCAAGAAATTAAGTTCTTTTGACAAGTATAAGCAAGAAGTCCTCCTTGGCCATCTTGACTGGTCACCCATGCACAAGGATCCAATATTCTGGCGAGAGAATATTACCAATTTTGAAGAGAACGACTTTCAGGTACTATTTTGTTTCTTGCCCAAGATTTCTCTCTTCTAATTTGCTAATTTTTCTCCTTTTATGGAAGAAATTATAGTATTTGCTTAATGTCTGGTGTTGTATACTTTATTTCTGGGTTCTATTGGGCTTAGTTATTCAGTGGGGCTGAACTAATCCTTGAAATTATTTGTCCCATAAGATGTGTCTCCGATGTTGTGTTGTTATTAATCACAATAGGGTATCTGTCATGAGTCCTAGGTTTATAGCTAAAACTTGGTAGTAGCTACTTTGAGCGTGCACGCACAGACACATGCCAATGCATATGGGATTATGGTTACTGGACTACTCAAGGTGTTTCTTGTGTTTTGTTAGTTTTTCCTTGATAGCTCTGTTTTCCGAGACACTGTTGGATTACATTCCATGGAAAAGTGGTAGTGAATTGAGTCCATTACTTGGTTCTAAAGGCAGTATTAAATTATATGCTGAAAGTAATTGCAGATTCCAATGCTCTTGACTCTTGAGTAATCTTTTGAAGAAACACGTGGCTCTCGTAGAACTAATGATGGATGACCTTGTCTTGCAGATTCTTAGAGTCCTGATTACTATCTTGGACACATCCAGTGATCCTAGGGCTTTGGCCGTAGCCTGCTTTGATATCTCACAGTTTGTCCAGCAGCATCCGGCTGGAAGAGTCGTAGTGACGGACCTCAAGGCCAAGGAACGCGTGATGAAACTGATGGATCATGAGAGTGCCGAGGTCACCAAAAATGCCCTGCTATGTATCCAAAGGCTTTTCCTAGGTGCCAAGTATGCGAGCTTTTTGCAGGCTTAGAGATGCATTCCTTTGAATGGCGGAGCAATGAGGCAGCGTTTTAGTCTAAATAGTATTGTCCTCCAAAAGAGATGTTTATGAAGGGCAGGGGTGGCTCTGTCACAGTAGTAGTAGTGGTTTACATATTTATGTGTTTGAGTACTACATTTTATAGGGCTGTTTGGTTATTTGAAAATTCATTTGTTGCTGTGTTTTTTTAGCTTTCTCGGTTGGTACTTGGTACTGACCTGTAGACTAAAATAAATTCCATCTGTAATCCTGCTGGGGGAATAAAAAATACTCTCTGTATTCAGCAGTCATGTTTGTTGTGGAGATTTTCGTTCCTTGATACTTTTACGTAAATGGGTCCGTCCATTGGACTGACAATTATTAACCATGGCAGGGACGCATGACCAGTTGGCCAACCAGACGTTGTTTCACTTGGTTGAATTATTTATTCGAGAACAACTCACATGGCACGGTACAAAATCACATGATGTCAAATGCCAATGAAACAAAACGTATGGACTGCCAGCAATTTTTAGATAAGGTTCGGATTCAACACATTGGATGATAACAGATAGTGAGATAGACTATGATTTGCTTCCAAAGGCAGTTGAATTCTATGAAGAGAATGGGCATGGAGGAGAAGAGAAACCGAGAATGGAGCTTGCACCGAGTCCATGTGAGGAACCCAAGAAGGAAAACTCACGGGAACAGAATAATAATGTTGTCATCAATGGCAAGGCTGAGGAAAGCTAGAACATGTTTTATTAGAAATATGTAGAATGTAGATCACCCATCGTATCTTTTGAAAAGAAAATATCTGAGAATGTAACGCTTACTTCTTTTTTTTCATCTGTTTCTATGGTAATAAGCGCATGAAAAAGTTCGAAATTCGTGATAGTTGAATATTAGCATTTATCTGGATCAAGCCACCATGCCATATTAATACTTATGCAATCTCCAACCGAAAGATCTAGAGGGCAAGAGGGCTGAAAATTGCTTAAAAATCATCTCCAACCGAGAACCAGACCAAATGGCTCATGAGCTCCATTGGACAAAAAAAGACCAAAGGGCCAGCCAGCCAACCCGAGCCAGGCCACATGATGACATCATATTTTTTTTTGGCCAAAATTTTATAAAAAATATTTAATTATGGGTTTAGATTTTTTGGGCCAAGAAAGGTGATTTTGTCAAAGTTGGGGTGTTCATTTTATAAGCATGTTTCCTTGCTCATTCATCTTCCACGGTAGACGTGGGACAATTATAATGGGTGTAGTTGTAGTTCCTTTCATAAGCATGTTCCTTTCTCAATTTATTTTAAATATTTAATTATATTACGTTTAATTTGTTTAGCCTTATGATCTTTTAGCCTTCGATTGGAGACGATTTTTTATAATAAAGTTAAAATGAGCTCTTTGACCAATTCGATTAAAGATGACCTTATGGACAGCAGACCCAAGGCCCTTTCTTAAGGACTCAAATCAAATTAAAAAACGCACGTCAATAAATATGAACCGATAGAAAAAGACACAAAAATAAATAAAACCCAGAGAAAAATAAAAAGAGCGCGTTAAGCAAAGGAAGAAAGCAGTAATTATCTCCAATCTACCGTCGGTCGTCCTCCGACGCTTGAAATTACTGATGAGTCCTTTCCCCTTTCCAAAGTCTTAACTACTACTTTCACCAAAATCAGACGAACGCGGCGAAGAAATTAGAAACTTTTTAAAAATCTCACGAGTTAGAAATTTAGAATTCAGAATTGAAAGCGAGAATTGAGAGAGTGTATCGAATCGAATCGAGAGGATGTGGTTAGAGATCATCTGCGGGCTGATAATATACCAGCTGTACAGGTGGTTCGTCTCCTCCGATGACGACGACGTCTTGGACCTGGAGACTTCTGATTCCAAGGCTCTCTTCTCCGTCGGTGACAGGCTTGCCAAGCTTTACGGCGGTAAGGTCTACGTTGGCCTTCGCATTCCCGATGCTGATACCGCTTCCCCTCAGACTATCGATTTGGTCCTCGTCTCCGAAGGGTAACCCCTAAACTAAACCCTCCTGACTCTATTTTTATTATTATTATTTTCAATTGTTTTTCTTTTTTCTATCTATTATGCTGATGGATGAATCTATCTGTTGTTCGTCTTCGTTTGCTTGTGTTTTTTCTTTACAAAAAATCAAATTCAAAATAATAAAAATAAAAAAAGGGAGGCAGCGGTCGTGAGTGTAAAGAATTTATCAGGATTAGTTTCAGTGAATGTGGATGGCAGCTGGGTTTGTGAGGGCTACAGTAGTAATCACAAGGCGCAGCACCTACCCGACCCTGTAAGACCCTTCTTCTTCCCTCCCCTTAATTTAGCATTTTTTTCTTCTCCTCATAAGTCCTAGCAAGCATCTTCATTGCTGCCTGCCAATGTGTTTGTGTGGCCTGTTCAATGCAATCGCGAATCATTTGTAACCGTGTAATACTTTGATTCAAAGGTTTATTTCATGACTTACCATTGCACGGTTTGTATTCTCTATACCTTTTTCTGTATGCATTCTATTTTCGTAGACAATGGCGGCATGGATATTCATTCGTGATCATTTAGTATTACATCTACAGCCCTATCTAGTATCTATCACGGAAATAAGGAATTTGGGAATTTGGTCTTTACTTTTCTATCCTCATTTTTTCTACTTTTCAGGTGTTGGAGACCAAAAAACAAGCTTCAATTCTTGAATCATATTTAGAACAAAGAGGAGTTGCTTTACCAAAAGGATATTTGTCTTGCAAAGTAATCCTTTCCAATCCAAAAGTTTGGTACATCCTGGAGTCCTCTCATGTTTTCAATTGCTCTAATTTATTATTCCTTGGTCTTCTCTGAGTACGATTTCTCTCCAAATTGCTAGTGCTCTGCTTTCTCATGTTTCTTGCTGTCAACATTACTAGTGAACCAAGACTGATTTCTGAACATTTCTTGAACTATAAAGGGGGGGCTTTTAAGAGGTTTTGACATGTAGGTGTAGAAGATATATGTGGTTGAGAGGTATTGACGTTTAAAGCCATGCATTGCAAATTGTTTTTAAGAAGGAATTTTAGGATGGTGCAATTGCCTTTTGAATCTAATTACTTTTCATGCTATTAACATTTCTTACTTTTTCTGTGTATCGAAGTCTTACTGTCTTATACATATTTCTTTTTCTGTAGTACCATTCAGTCCAGCAATTTTCCATCAGAAGTCGTAACCTATGACCAGTGGGTGCAGCTGAAACCAGAACCAAAAAACATGTTTTCTGGTTGGTTCAAAGGTGCCTTCCGTGGTGGAAAGAAAGAGATGCAAGAATCTATGCATCAGAAGCTTGATTCCATTCTTAGTACAGCTCCAATGTGGGATAGGTTTGTTGCCCTTTACTTAAAGTTTTCTGTTCAATTTTCCTGGGAATTGGGATTAGGTATTATCTTATAAGCCATGGTGAAGCCGGCTCAGAGCCAACCCCATATAATTCACAATTATGAAACTCCAACCACAGGAATAAATATATGTGGAAGCAAATATTTAAAATGTTAATGAACCAACTACGAGGAACTTAAGGGTAGAATTCCTTAACACTTGAGGCAAAGTCAGTGGGGATTTAGGCCTTTCTTAACTGTCCCGAGTCTAATCATTGAGTCATTTCTTTCTATGCAAGTTGGAATTACAAAGAAATAGGCTGTTTGATACACAATGAATTCATTTATGTGGATGCTGTTTAGTGTTTTTTTTATTGGCCTGCAGGTTGGAGCTCAAAGGTAGTAAGTATGTTCTTGGAGAATTTCTAGAATTCAAGGGTAAGCAGGAAGATGTTCAGGATTTGAAATGTATCAAAAGATCAAAAATTGGCCGCCTTGTAGTCCAAAAGACGAGCATGCTTGGATTTGGTAATTCCCCAATTTCTTCTTCTCTCTGTTGAGTATTATTTATGCTGAAGTATATTAAACGATCAAGGATGCAAAGGCATACATCCTGATTGGAATTTTTCAAGCTTTGGAATAGACATTGCATTTAGCCATATGCTTAACCATTGGCCCCTTTGTTTGTGGCAGCCCCTTCTAGGCTTCAAGTTCTGTACTCTCCTCGTGATTATCGGAGCGAAGGAGCTTCAGCTTCTGAGTGGATGGAGGTAACTGTAAGGTCTAGTACAGAAGTCCTCTTCCAGCCAGAAAATTCTTCTAGAGTACGCAAGTTTAAGCTTTCTTCGATCGTCTCTATGTCACTGAGTGCTTAAAGATTCCTCCTGCTGAGTATACATCTACAGATCTGCAGGTAGGAAAAAGTAGCCTTGAATTATCTGTGTAATTGTCTTGACTCTTGTACCGTTGTTGATTTCTTTTGAATGTGTGGGGCATATGGAAATGCTAATAGGAATTTGAGTTATGCAATAAATTGATTTGGAGGAAAAATACTCGGGTGCGACTGTATGTGTGAACTGTAACATCATGTGGCAATGTCGCACCCAACTATTTCTCATTTTAGGCCATTGTGAAACTTGTGTTGAAGAATCAATGATATGGTATAAACTAGAAGGATCCAAACATGAGATGCTGCGTGTTGCATGTGCATGCGTTACAAGTTAAGAGTAGGAAAAGCGAAGATTGGATTGGTTGAAAGTGAAATTCCTGTTAATAATACTATATATAGATAAAGCAAAAAAAAATCTACAAATTCTTATCAAAGCGTTTATATCTAACGCACACTTAATTCACAAGCATTCGACGTTTTGGTATCAACTGTAGTAAAATTAATGGCTGAGTTGAAGGGTGGTGTCAAAGTCGACCATGAGTTTGTTTAGTTTCTCGTTGCTTATCTTCTGTTGGTACACCACCATTGTCTCCGTCTCCTCGAAACTGCAATCGTACTTTTTAACTTTCAACACAAATTGTTTAAATCATTTCACTTCAGACGAGAGAGAAGCAAAAGCATGAATTGAAATGACAAGGGAGTGAGAGCAAATCAAACCTTGGGGTTTGGGGTTGGGTTTGCGTTTGGAGAAATGAAGTTTGAGAAGGCGGCAAAAGCATGCGGGCGAGCCCAACGGCATCTTTGTAGCAATTGATGACTCTGTCGAAGCATACGTATCTTCCGTAGGATGACGCCTCTTCAAGGACGGAGATGTGTGCGTCAACAAGGAACTTGAGATCAACGGTCACCAACAGCCCATCTTGGTACATCTCAGCCGTTCCTTTTAGATACGGATTAGTGATGGTGAGATCGGGGCTCATCAACAGCCCGCCATTGACGGACACCATGTTCAGTCCTCGGTCCATTGCTAGAGCCCATGCTGTCTTCTCGGCTAGGGTCTTCGAGAGGGCATGCCACAGCTGATCAGAAACAAATTTAATTCATGACAGTCAGCCTGATGGTGGAGACAGATTGGAACATTTTAATCAATGTAAAATGACTGAGCTGTTAAAATTGAGCTAAACCATACGGGATTGCATTCGGCTCACTTTTATCTACGCAATAACAAAACCGCTCATGTTTATGAAATGAAATAATACCTTGAATTTTTTACAAAAATTGACATCGCTCCAGTTTCTCTCATCAATCTCATGGGAGGAGGACGGCGACGTTGTACGGTCGTCCCTCCAAATCACAGCTGTTACAGAGGATGTAAAGACTACTTTGTGTATGGTATCAGTTTGGGCACAAGCTTCCAGTACGTTATGAGCTGCTCTGACCTCTGCCTCTGCCATAAATTCCTGCATCAAATATTATACATAATTAATCAATGTGGATTAAGTACAGGCAAATAAGTTGGTTAATGGAGTATTGGAATGGAAGGGAGACGTACATCATAAGTGGGGTGGTCTGAAGGAGGCTCGAAGGAGTAGAAAAGGGCAGAGCATCCTTCCAAAGCGACCATAATGCTGTGGTAGTCAAAGGGGTCTGAACGGAAAACGCTCACTTTCTTCTTCTTTACCAATTCGTCATCAAAACACTCTGCTTCATCATCAACACCCGCACCCGCACCCGCACCCGCACATATAATAACTAATTAAACAAATGGAAATAAATGGAAATCGGAAGACTAAACTCTCAAGAAAAGAGGACGAGTTGCTATGAGCTAAAAGACTTAAATATATCCAGCTTGCTAGTTGATTGGTTTCTATTTAGACCTAGTTTGGGAGTGAGGTGCTTAAAAAAAAAAGCACCCATGAAAAAAAGCTGTGAGGGTTTTAGGTGTTTGGTAAACTGAAAAAAAAAAGCTTATTTTGGAAGCTGCTGTGAGAATAAGCTGAAATCAAAGGAAAAAGCTGAAGCTGCTATTTGTAGCTTTGGAAAACTGGCTTTTTTTCAAAGCACATGGAGCTACAGTGCTTCTTTAATGAAAAGACCCAATATTAGACTGCTTTTTTTTCCAAAAGCACTTTTACAAAAAAGTTTACCAAACACTCTGCTGATTTATTTCACAGCCGCTTATTCTCACAGCACAGCCGCTTATTCTCACAGCAGCTTTTTTTCAAAGCACAGCAATACCAAACCAGCCCTCAGATTGGAAGAAATAACATAAAGACTGCATTTCGAAGGAGGAGGAAGAAGAAGAAACAATTCAACAAGATAGTTATAGATTACAGATAAATACATGGGTAATAGGTTAACATACATACTGTGATGGGTTTGGAGTGCAGCATGGACTGCATAGCCTCTGTGCAAGAGGCGATGGACGAGAGTGGAGCCTAGGCGGCCGGACGCATCCATGACGCAGACTGTGGTCGTCCCTGAACATGGACTAATTTCATCAGCACCATCATCATCACAAGTACAAATAGCATCTGCTGCAAGAGCCATCGATGGATGGATGGATCAGATGGGACGGGATGGGATGGGATGGATAGCAGCTATATGGGAATGAGGGAGGGATCTGAATTTCTGAAATATAATCTAGGGAATGCCTTGGGATTTGGATTGCAATTGAATTAGGGGCTATCACATAGTAGCAGCTGCAAAGTCCAAGCACTTAATGGTGGAATTGAAGCGGGCAGATAGGCACGTAGCTACAACCTATAACTGGTACAGGCAAGAGTAGTATTTAATGCGTGGGGGAGGAAGGACTCAGAGGAAGAGTCTCTCTCTCTGTATTTATGTAAACAGAAGATAGTTTGGAAGGTGAGCGTTGGGTTGGACCGTTCACCGTTGGAGAAGGGTATGGACACCGCCAATGCAATGCAGAAGAAGACGACATCAATATATAGAATCAGATTATATATTATATGTATACGCGGAGAGAGATGGTTGTATAATATATATTATACATAATCATCAACGTATAGAATCAGATAAGAAAGCAGGGTGGCATAAAACTAATTTTGTTTGTTTATTGACAGTTAGGCGGCATAAAACAACTCAACTGTGCAGCAAAGCGAGCGAGCAGGCCCGCCGGCCATACAAATTATTGTACATGGAGCTCATTCTGTCCATACATACATGACCGGGACGGTGAACGACGAACCTAACTAAGTAATCATTCATATTCCAGTATTCCAACAGCCTGCCTCCGTACAGGCTACAACTTCAATTCCATTTTGACAAGATGAGCACCGGAGGAATTTCTTCGTGATAATACTTGGGCCCTAACGAGTCATCACCCTACATCTTTTATCCAAATACATGGGTCGATAACATGTACATCTGCCTACAGCGATCACATGAGAAGAGGATTACATTAAAACCTTGGGGTCTAAACAATGACGGGACGCAACTATCTCAAAACGATAATTCTTCTGGCACTTCTTGAAATTCGCTCAACAGGAAGCTCTTGTACTTGTCTTCAAGATCCCCACCTGGGGACATGTAATACAGCATTAACAGTTCAAAATTATACCTACAAAATTTACTTAACAACAAGGGAAAGCAATAAAAGAGTCATGAGGTTACTTTTAGCTTCAAATGGTGGGATATTCTCGGACAAAGTTGATTGCACCAGATTAGCCAAATCTTGCCTGATACATCAACAAATGAGTTATATTGACTAAATGCATTTAAGTCTACAAACTCCTTAAAATCACGTATAATCAATCATCACCAACTTATAAGTTAAAACTCAGATTGAAAACATGGTAGAAAAGTAGGATTTCAAGTCGTGGATTTCATGCTGCAGCTAGTTCAAGCGCTAGACAATTTTCTAGGATATGAGTAACTATATCAAGATTCAAGAAGCTCGCTCCTATGACCTATCCAAAAGAAAGCTGAAGTCATCTCATTTTCTCTTACCATTTACATTCTTTTCTCCTCCATTGACATTCAATAAGTAAGATGATATCTTGTCATCTTGCAACTGCAGAACCACCCAGAAAGGTAAATTGTTCACACTATTGATAAATTCATAACACGGCATTAACAAATCTATATGAATGGGCAAATAAATTCATAACACGGCATTAACAAATCTATATGAATGGGCAAAGCATATTATTAAAGAAACATATATTATTTGACCTTGGACAGAAATGCCTTAGCTAGTTCCATTGGGTGAATATACGAAGGGCCTTTGTTGTATGCGGGCATGAACTTCCCATTCTGATAACCAGCTAAGAAGTGATAAGCTGCCTGGCCAGGGGAGAGCTTTGAAACAGAAGGGATAACGCCAGAACTGATTGAACAGAAAATAGAATAAAAAGCAATGCAAGGTCACTATGCGCAGGACACATTAGGAAAGAGGAGTAACATGAACGGAAGCAGTAAGTGTGGGGTTTTCTGAAAGATTACTGATATGCAACATACTTAGAATGAACACAAAACAACCTTTGGATGACAGTTACAGTTACAGTGTAGCGATATGTGTAGGATAACAATTCGGCTAGCACAGCCAAAGACCGATGCTCATTCCTATTCAAAACATGCTCAAATGGAACAAAACAATTCTTTACAGGGTTCTATTACCTGTCAGAAGATGCAAGGACTACAACAGATGGGAACTTGAACAGATTTTGGCCACCAGTTTGAAACAATGGTGCAACACCTTCAGATGAAAGAATTACACCTGCCTCCTTAGGCACCAACAGATGTCTGCAGCTCTTAAAGGTACCTTTGGGTGCAAATATAAGAACCACAGAATCACCAGACACTAGAAGCCTGAAAATTTGAACCTCCCAGTGTAAATCACCCATGGTATAGTAATAAAGACTGTAAAAAGGTCGTACCCAGTGCACAAGGCTCCCGCTTTACGCAGGGTCTGGGAGAGGTGAATGTCGGCTAGCCTTACCCCCATTTTATGGAGAGGCTGCTCCCAAGTCTCGAACCCGAGACCTACCGCTCATGGGCGAAGGCACTTGCCATCGCACCAAGTGCGACCTCTATAGTAATAAAGACTGTAATGCTCAATAAAAGAATAGAGAACCTGTACCTTGCACATAGTGGAAGGCCTCCCCGTGCAATATAACAGGTCCAGACAAGGCCGCTAGTGCTTCTTTAGTTACATTTAAATCTGAGAAGGCTTTACCACATAAAACAAGTGATGAACGCTCAATATCAGCAGCTATAAATCCATTATTTCCTTTAGATCCAAGGTCAATAACATCCCCAATTCCTGAACTGCATGATCAAATATATATATATCAATAAACATGTAATCGACATTGATGTCATGAGAAATTCTTAAAGCATGTTTTCTTGTAGTTGGTTGCACAATATACTCAACCAAGACACGTTAGACAATGAAAGTTGATTACCTTATAGAAGTAGCCACATAAACTGTCAAAGGACATGAATCATGAGAAACTGCACGGGTGGAAGTCCCCCAGAGAATACGGGATAGTGAGAGCACAGCAGACGAACTATCACTTATTAAACGAACTTTTGCATCACATTTTGGTAATGAACCGATAGCACCATCATGCACAAAAATGTTGGAGATGGATGATATATGACTTGTGACCTGATAATATGAAATAAAAGGTAGTATAATAAACACGGTGAAACGAATGTAAGACAACAGAAAAAAGAGAAAGGAGAAGATTGAAACGTGCATGTTTCAAAAGCTTAGTGAACTGTGGCTTGGAAATTTGGGAAGCTCCTCCTCCTCCTGCTGCTGCTCCTATTCCATGGAAACGTCCTCTAACAAGAAGTGGAAGTCCTGACAATGATTCTAAAAGGGAAACAGAAAGTTAAACAAAAAGAAAGAAAGAAAATAATGATGATAATATTGCCAACCTGGAATTGTTGCACCCTTGTGTTGAAGTTGAGAGGAGTCAAATTATGAAAGGCTTGGTGGTCGACAATTACACCTTTGCCGGCCAAAGCCATGTTAAGACCACACGAGAAATCGAGGACCCTCCCTGTCCCGGTCCCTGTCCCTGCCTCCGTCCCTGCCGACCGTGCCCCTGCAATAAAGATTAAGCCATGAGTCAGCGAATCAGCAAGTGAGCTGCAAGGCTGAAACTGCAACTTTCTGCATATTCAAATACATGCGTTTACATGAAGAGAGAGAGAGAGAGAGACGCACGCACGCGTTGGGAGGAGAGGAAGAAAGGTAGGGATGTTGAACTGAATGAGCCTTCAATGAACCGCAAGTTGAGGATTCTCATCATCCTCTCTGTCTCTTCCTCTTCCTCCGTCGGCTATCCAGTGTATCAATATCAATTGATTTGGGGATGTCGGTCGTTTGTTATAATTGCCGTAAAATAAGCTATGCTACTTGCCTGCCTGTGCCGTTGTACGGCACCACCACCACCACAGAGTAGACTAGAGTAGAGAGTTTTATTCTCTTGCCGTCGTCTGATAGTGATACCGATAGCGGCGGCGGCGGCAGCAGCAGGCGCAGCGAGCCCATATGATATTATATGGGCCTATTGGGCTCTAAACCAAGTCTGCGCCTTTCTGGACTCTATCTCTCACTACTACACTAGTTCATAAAGGCCTAAGCAGGGAGTTTCAGTTTTATATATATATATATTTTTTTTTAAATAAAAAAATCACAAAAGGAAGGGGCTGGTTGGGAGGAGCTTTCTTGACGTAGAAGAAGAAGAAGCTGACAATTGAAATCGGAGCTCCAAGTCAGGTGGATCTCATCTTCATCTCTTCAGCAGTCAGAGAAGTGAGTGAGTGAGTGAGTGAGTGAGTTGCCTTCAACTTGCTTTCTTCAGGTAGGATTAGGATTAGGATTAGGATTAGGATTAGGATTAGGGCTATTCAGTCTCTTCACTTCCTATTTGTATTTGTCTCGCTCCCTCTCTCACTATTCAGTTAGAAAAATTGCACCCTCATCAATCAATCAGGCAGGCTACCTCGGTGATGGGAACACTGAGCTCCCAAATTTTGAATTTATGTCCATGGGAGAAGCTTCTTTCCTTCCATGTTTGTGGGACCCGTGAAAACCTTTACACCCCTTCCCTCCCCTAGCACTTTTGAAGCCGCATGCGGAGTCGATTTGAATTTCCCCAACACCACCACTACCACCACCTTCATGGATTCCTCTGGTCCTGCCCTCGCGCTCGCGCCACCTTCAATTGCAGAGCCTCATGACGCTATGGAGTTTGAATCTCATGAAGCCGCATACACCTTCTACAAAGCATATGCCAAGTCCGTCGGTTTCGGCACTGCTAAGTTGAGCAGTCGTCGCTCTAGAGCATCCATGGAGTTCATTGATGCCAAATTTTCATGCATCCGATACGGAAACAAGCAGCAGTCCGATGATGCCATCAATCCTCGACCTTCTCCCAAAATTGGCTGCAAGGCGAGCATGCATGTCAAGCGCAGGCCAAGTGGTAATTGGTATGTTTATAGTTTCGTAAAGGACCACAACCACGAGCTTTTACCAGATCAAGCACATTTCTTTCGCAGCCACAGAAACACTGACCCCCTTAACAATGATGTTAGAATCCGGAGACGCAAGAGTTTAGCTGCAGAGTCCAGCCTCTTCAGTGCCTATCGAAATGTTGATTGTCTGGAGAGTTACTTGCGAAATCAGCATGACAAGGGACGGAGTTTGGCTTTAGAAGCAGGGGATGCTCAACTTCTGCTTGAATATTTTATGCGCATGCAGGAAGACAATCCAAAATTCTTCTATGCAGTTGATCTGAATGAAGAGCATGGATTGAGAAATGCGTTCTGGGTTGATGCCAAAGGAATGGAAGATTACACTAACTTCAACGATGTTGTTTTCTTCGACACCACATACTTCACACACAAGTATAAAATACCGCTGGTTCTTTTTATAGGAGTGAACCATCATATTCAGCCCACATTACTTGGCTGTGCTTTGATTGCAGATGAGACGGTTTATACTTTTATGTGGCTAATGCAAACATGGTTTATAGCAATGGGGGAACAAGCTCCGCGAGTAATACTCACCGACCAGAACGACGCCATCAAAGCAGCTATTCCAACAGTATTTCCAGGCACACGCCATTGCTTTTCTTTATGGAACATAATGGAGAAGATGCACAGGCAGCTCGAGTTTCTAAGGATGTGGCATGATAGTTTTATGGAAAAATTTAGTAAGTGTATCTTCAAGTCCTGGTCAGAACAACAATTTGAAAAGAGATGGTGGAAACTTATTGATAGATTTAATCTTAGGGACATTGAATGGATGCAGTCATTGTTTGAAGATCGTACTCGTTGGGCCCCTACTTTCATGAGAGATGTATCCTTCGCCGGGTTGTCTCCAACTTCACGATCAGAAAGTTTGAACTCTTCCTTTAACAAGTATATTCAAGGGGAAACTACACTGCGAGAGTTTATGGAAAGATACAGAGCAATTCTTGAAGATAGGTATGAAGAGGAAGCGAAAGCAAATTTTGATGCTTGGCATGAAATGCCTGAGTTAAGGTCTCCGTCGCCGTTTGAGAAACAAATGTCACTAGTGTACACGCATGAGGTTTTCAAATACTTTCAAGTTGAGGTCTTGGGAGCAGCTGCTTGTCATCTTAAGAAAGAAAATGAAGGCGAGACATCAACTACGTACAGTGTTAAAGACTTTGAAGACAATCGAAATTATACTGTAGAGTGGAATGAATCAAAATCAGATGTATATTGTTCTTGCCACTTGTTCGAGTATAAAGGTTATCTCTGTAGACATGCTATTGTTGTTCTCCAAATGTCTGGTGTTTTCATCATCCCTCCCAAATATATATTGCAGCGATGGACAAATGCTGCTATGAGCAGGCATGACATTTGTGAAAGAGTGGATGAGGTTCAGTCTAAAGTCCGTCGCTACAATGATTTATGTCGAAGAGCCATAATAGTGGGTGAAGAAGGGTCACTCTCGCAAGAAAGTTATGATGTAGCATTATCTGCCATAAAAGAAGCGTGGAAGCAATGTGCAAGTTTAAACAACTCTCTTGAGAACAATGCAAAACCTCATGATTCAGCAATGCATGGTGTTTGCGGTGTTGATGAAGAGAATCAATGCAGCACTACATCTAGTGCCAACAAGACTCCTAGGAGAGCCGGGTCCGGGAAGGAGGTGGCTGCTAGGAATGGGAATAACACAAGCAAGAAAGGAAAGGTACCTGATGGTTTATGCGGTCATTTTCTTCGTTGTTTTTCCATTTTGAAAATATCTTTTAATTTGTTTGTCTGAATTTGGGAAATAGGTGAGTAGTGAAAAATGATAGAGCATTACTAAGGACTCAAGTTTGCTTAATTGGCATAACACGTACCTCAGCTGGAAGCTACGACCGTTGGAACGCAAGACGGCCTTCACCAAATGGTATGTTTCCTGATAGTAAATTGTACACAAATTTAATAGAGGTATTCCTAAAAATGAGCCACCTCTGAAAACTGCTACTTTTGAAGATTTTGGTCTTTCCAATCAAGACACTTTTCACTGTGCAGAAAACAAAAGCATTAATGCTGGACAGGGATCTGCTGAGGGGCCATATGATCTAATTGGGAAATAAATTGAATCATGGATTCTAATACTGATACTATAACTTAGAATTGAGGATGGCAGAGTTTTACTGATCATAAGCCCATGTTGTCATGTTCAAGGGTTTGGGTTGAGGATTCTGAACCTGTTTGATAAACTGACCTGAGAATACTGGAATCTGTATCCCTTTGCAGGTTGACAGCGTTGAGTTAAAGCGTATGAATGCAATGGTTTGTTAACATATTGAACAGTGCTTATACGTACGCTATGTGAAATATATGGAACCTTTTCTTAGGTGTATGATGTATGGGGAACTTCTTTTCAAAAAAAATGATGTATGGGGAACTTGAATCTCGGTGGATATTGAACAGTGCTTACAGATGTTAAGCATAACTTCAAAAAAAAATAGAGTAAAGCATCTACTCTTTTTCTTTTTCTTTTTCTTTTTCAATTCAGCATCTGAGGCTGAGCATCCCAAAATCCGATTCCTATTCCTTTTTAGTCGGTAAATGCTAGGAAAACTAAATTTGTATACAAAATTTTGAAAACTAGAGGATATGAAAGTTGATGATTGGTGTATTACTTAACCGTTGATAAATGTATTCATTCTTATTAGTGACACATCATTTAGTTTGCAAATTTAGTGATACATCATTTAGTTTGCAAATTTTGTCACTAAAGTTAGTATCATTAACATTACCCTTCTATTTATTAAAGAAATATTAGGTATACCAACTTTTTAGACTACATTTGTAAATCATATGATGTGCTAACAATAAAAAATAGGACAACGATTGTCTGCCCTCCCACTTCCGGTGCTCTCCCGTGTCCTCCTGTTTTGTGTGGTCACGGTTAAGCCATGTCAATATTTTATATTATTTTTTTATAGAGATAATAAGACAAAAATGAATAGTAATATAAAATGTTAACGTGTCTTAACCATGACCACACAAACAGGAAGGCACGGAAGTGGGAGGGCAAACAATCCTTATCCTAAAAAATAAGCACGTTAATTAATCATGTGTTGTACTACTAATAAAAAATAAGGAAAACTAATGAAAAATGGCTGAAAAACTTTGAGTTTTAATGATAAGGACAAAATAAAGGGTAAAGTGAATAGAATCAAGATTGATTTTTTAATGTAAAAATATGATTTTTCGTTAAAGTGAATAATATCATCTGATCTTTAGTGGCAGACAACATGATTTACAAAAATATTCTTCCTATCAACAATTATTATAAAGATGGACGGTGCAAAGGGTAAAGGGAAAAGAATAAAATATGGGATTGTACCCCACCCCCAAAAAAGTGGGTGGCGTCCACCAAAGGTAACGGCAGCGCGACTATATACGCGGACTCATTCTTACCATAGCAAATACCATACAAGCAAAAAAGCAAATCAGGTCCATCAGGAAGGAGGAGGAGGAAGATATGGCGCCAAGCACAAAGTCACTAGTATCAGAATCAGAAGCAGCACCGGTCCGTCGCTACCGCATCGGGTACGCATTCGCACCCAAAAAAGAGCAGACCTTCATCCAGCCCTCTCTCCTCGACCATGCCTCCCGATACGGCATCGATTTCGTCCCCATTTCAATCCCCGATTCCACCACCACCGCCAAGACCCTGATCGAGCAAGGCCCCTTCGATTGCATCATCCACAAGATCTATGGCCCCCACTGGAACCAACACCTCAGAGAATACTCGTCCCAGTATCCCCAAACGCTCATTCTTGACCCGCCCGAGTCCATCGAGCGCCTCCACAATCGGGTCTCCATGCTCGACGTCTTGGCCGCCTTTGAATTGAAGCCGCGTCAGTCAGGCGACAAGTTCCAATCGAAGATCTCGGTGCCCAAACAGGTGCTGGTTGATCATTACCCGGAAGGCGAAGAAGAGACTAAGTTGTTGGCCGGGTTGGAGTTTCCGGTGATTGCAAAGCCATTACTGGCGAATGGCAGCACCAAGTCGCACGAGATGTGTTTGATTTTTAGCCCCAAGGGGTTGCGCAGTCTTCTAGCCGATACTAAGAGTCCCATTTTGCTGCAACAGTTTGTGAACCACGGCGGGGTGGTGTTCAAGGGTTACGCGATTGGGGAGCACGTCCAGTGCGTCAAGCGGAGGTCGCTGCCGGACATTTCGAAGGAGCGGGTGACCGCATTAGAAGAAGCGGTGCTTCCGTTTTCGCAGATATCAAATTCGGCGAATGACGAGCATAATCTGGCTCATGATCCTCACGAAATGCCACCTCTGGAGTTTGTTGAGGAGGCGGCGAAGGGGATACGCGTGGGCCTCAAACTCAACTTCTTCAACTTTGACATGATAAGAGATTCGAAGGACCCCAACAGCTATTTTGTGATCGACATCAATTACTTTCCTGGGTACGCCAAATTGCCTAACTATGAGCATGCCTTTACAGACTTTTTGCTGAATCTGCTTTCAACTAGTAGCCATCCCCAAAAACAAAAGGAGCTGCAGCAGCTTAAGGAAGAAGAAGGTGCTACCAGTTTCGAGTCCGATGTCAAACAAAACAGGGGTCATGAGGAGGAGTAGCAGGACGAGGGAGAGGAGGAGATTTGACAGTTGAAGAGTAATAAAAATTGTGTTACTTGGATTGGATTTGGTTGGGTTTTTTCCAATTTAGGTACCTCTGATTTCTTCTTGTGATGAGAGACAGGCATATGGTCAATGTAGTGGAGAGTGGTGAGTGCATGATATGATATGATATGGGTCATCATCGTGAGCATACATGTAGATGCGAATTACATGTAAGCTGGGTAACTTGTAACATGTATCATCATGTGCACAAATAAATATTTGAATAATTGCAGCAGCTACCTTTAAATTTGCAAATCATATGTCTGTCTATGTATCTATGGTTTTGGTCTTCTTATTTTCCCAGATGCAGATGTAGCAGCTGGTTGTTTATGAAATGATAGGTTTTATGCTAATTCTCCCTCACTTTGCTATTTCCTTCCCTCGTACTCTCACTCACTCACTCACTCACTCACTCTCAGAAGAATAAGGTTGAAACAATTAATTTTGAGAATTTGGAAAACAAGTGCAACCTCCTTTTTGATCCTCTTGAGAGTGTTAAAATTGAATAATGCAGGGTTTGTTAGATGAAACACAAACCAAGAACAAGTAATATGAATTACTGTGATCAAAACACAAACTGATGTTCATTAAACTAATGTGCGAGGTTGCAGCGCACCTTCTCCTCTCTCCAGTAATCGGTTTTGCTCTTAACTAATAATAGGTCTTAGTCCGTATTCGAGCATATCCACTGTGAGAGCAGAAGCAACTATATACACACGACATAATCCTTACCAAATCCCATAAGGATTCCCCTATTAGAATCCTTATAGGAAACTAATCCCTTAAATAGTAGTCCAGTGTAATATGGATTACAAAATCCATTCCCAATAAGACTTCCCATTCAATCTCAAGACCAATAACTAAGTTCATAGATTCATACTTATGCTCATATTACATTCTCCCACTTGAGCAAGTATGAACCAAGTAAACTAGTTCTATCAAGATCTACCATATGGTGATCACCAAGCCTTTTGAGTAACATCATAAACAATCTATATGTACATCTCAAAACATAGAATAAAAGCTTACAGTCACAACCAACATGTAACTGATGCCCTCAGATTACTTATGTTCAATTTGCACTTATAACATTATGATCAAACTGACATCAGTGGACCTAAATATCCACTCCCACTATTCCTCAACTTAATTTGAAACAATTCAGTCTAACAAATAGTAAAACTATCAACTAGTAATTCATTCCAATATAATGAATTACCAATATATGAATTCAACCAACTACTCAAGTCAAATCACAAAGATTCTCAAAGCATCAAACTGAATCCAAAACACACACACACACACACACACACACATATATATATATATATATCTAACCAATCAATTACAAAAATTGAATCTCTGAATGCAATAAACCTAGCTAACAATTATACTAATTGATAATTAAACTAGCTAAACATAAACTTAACTTTAGAGAAGAACATTACTGCCACACCAGCTTTTCGAACTTCACAGTAGCAGCACTTCTCAAACTTTATTTTGCAACTGTCCTTAATGCAACAATTGCTCTTTGTAAAACAGAATAACAAACTACTCCCACTGATCAAAAGACTTTTCACAGACATTAACTACCTATTTGCCATTAGCTCTCAAATAATCCTTAAACAGTTCACGATCATTTCTTAGATGACCTCGAGTTTTGCAGAAAAAACACTTAAGCTTGGCAACATTTTTAATTTTTGGTTTAAGATTGTTAGACCCTTTAGAAATATCAAATATTTTAGCAGAAGTACCAGTCTGATCAGAAGGTTTGGAGTACTTGAAATTCTTACCTAAATTATTTCCAACATTGTTGAATTCTTCCCCTTTCCTCCTTGCACAAAATTCACAATCCTTGCCTCTTTCTTGCTTTTGCCGAGTCTTCTTTTGAACACATTGTGCGATGAGCTCATTTATATCCTAACTCTTGTCTTGTGTATTATAAGACACCTTCAGCTGAGAGTATTTGATTGTAAGAGCTTGGAGAATCATGAAAATCAACTGTTTTTCTCCAATATTGACATCCATTGAGTTCAACTTCTCAGGAGCATCAGTCATCTTCAGTATGTGATCTCGAATTGAACCTATCAATTTTATAGGTTGTCAGTAAGGCCATGTATTGATTGATTTCAGCCTTCTGAAACTCCTTGAATTTCTTCTCAATTGCACTCAAATATTCAGTAGCTAATTCATGTCTTTTGATGCCTCCACGAATTGTATCAGTCATGCCACTTTCCAGGATGAAGAGTGCCACCTTGTTGGCTCTCATCCACCTTTCATTGTCTATTTTCTCTGTTCTAGTACTCTGGTCTGTGATTATTGGTTTTGGAGTATCAATGGCAATGTCATACTCATTTATAGTCAACAGCAATCCAATATCACGTCTCCATTTCTTGTAATTACTTCCTCCAGTAAGGATTGGGATGTTAGCTAAGTTCAATGTCTTCAATGATATTGCAGATATTGCAGACGAAATCACAAACATGAACCAATTAGGTTCCTGATTTCCTTTTGCAGATTGCACATCATAACTTACATCAATAATTCATACATATAGACTTAACAACTAATAGCTGATAAGCATATATAGAAAAACTGACTTATTTAGAACTCATGTAGATTCAGCGAAGAAATATGCAACAATAGACAACCAATAGATGTCTCATGCATAATGATGTAATATCACAATAAAACGATCATCAGAATCAGAAGATCATGACTTTGCAAGATATTGGAAAATTATAGCCTTATATGTGATTGGTCATCTATTGCTTAAGAATTCCTAACTGGCAGTTTTAATTAGTTTGGATTTTTCTTTGATTTCGATATTGGTATTTCAAAACTCAAACAGAAAACCTCGGTTCAAACTATGCATCAAAATAGGTATGCCAATACTGATAAATCAACATAAATCATCAAACATACCTCTTGCAGATGAGTTTCAATTTGAAATAGCGCAGCGAATATAATCATCCAAATTGAAAACAATAGTTTAGAGATTTATGGCTCATGTTTGTGATTTATGTAATCGAAAAATCCCAAATTGGGGAGAGAACCAAGACCAATGATTTTGCAGGAAGTCCAACGGAAAAGAAAAACTTTTGGAAAAGTTTTAATGGTAATATTTTAAAAACACGTTTTGTTATTCATAAAAACCACATACCGGAACCCGAGTTCGATTCCTCTAGGTTGAAACATAAGGCAAATTTATTTAAGCTACATAACCCATTGATTTTAATAACAGAATTCATAAACTTGTGATTAAGGCTCTGATACCACATGTTAGATGAAACACAAACCAAGAGCAAGTAATATGAATTACTGTGATCAAAACACAAATTGATGTTCATTAAACTAATGTAATGAGAAGATCATACCTACAGATGAACTCAAAGAAGCAGCGATGTCCAAGTTTCCCTGTAAGGTTGCAATGCACCTTCTCCTCTCTCCAATAATCGGATTTGCTCTTAACTAATAATAGGTCTTAGTCTGTAATCGAGCATATCAACTGTGAAAGCAGAGGCCACTATATATACACACTACATAATCCTTGCCAAATCCCATAAGGATTCCCCTATTAGAATCCTTATAGGAAACTAATCCCTTAGATAGTAGTCCAGTGTAATATGGATTGCAAAATCCATTCCCAATAAGACTTCCCATTCAATCTCAAGACCAATAACTAAGTTCATAGATTCATATTTATGATCATATTCTTACAGGGTTTGAATCGGGGCTTGAGGTGTTAATATCATCTTAAAAAAAATCGCTGAGTTTATATTTAAATCAGATTATTAAAGTTGACCATGCTCTCTGGCTTTGCATACGAGGTTGGTACTTAAATGGATGAATCCTCGTCTTGAATAATTTGGACTATGATTCTCTCTCTTTCTATTTCTCTCTCTTTTTCTTACATTCTCCACTTAATCTTTTTCTCTTTATATAAAAAAAAAAAAGTAGCACAAGATGATAACGTAATTTAATCATAATCGTTCAAGGAAAAAAAAAAAAAAAAAAAAGGGAGAATAATTTATACGTGCGTCATTATTTTACTTGTCGTTGACAACTTCGGCCCTTCAGTCCAGTGTATCGAAATCGATATAACTGTCTCTTTCCTTGCCGATTCCCGATTGCTCAACCAAAATAAATAAATAAAAATCCAAGTCCAAGGTCCCAGTCAATTAATTTAAGCCTATAATATATACACACACACGTGTCTCGATGGTCTGATTGGCACGTACGGCATGTACGGATCCTTTTCATGAGGATCCGGAAGATTCTGTAATCATGTCATTTCATCGTACATTGTGTGATCAATTTTTGTTAGATATCATTTATATTTAATTTTAAATTTTAAATTTAAAATGATTTCTGACTGCACAATATACGATAGACGAACATGATTATGAAATCCTCAGATCCTCAGGAAAGGATCCTGCTAGGATCCATTTCCGTGAGAATAATCTATACATATTTGGCATGGCTAGGATATAGGTAAATATGATTAGTTGCTTTTATAGCTAGGTCAATACAATATATTTATAGGGTACCCTTGTTGTCGTTGTACAAGAAGGAATTAGCTTGCTCTTGTAACTTGAATTGTCTAATTTTTCACTTACCAATTTCAATTGGTGCCTGGTTCGATCTGTACCACCATCCATGCATGCATCCACTATTGTGTGGAGAGATTTTTATTGTGATCGGTACACAAAGTGGTACATCACGTGTCACTATACAAAATAATGTAATATGTGTGCTAAAAAGTTAATAATTTAAAAAATAAATTTTTTTACCACTCCTATTAAAACATGTAGTGTACTATTTGTGTTCCCGTCACAATTAAAAATTTCTCCATTGTTCGGTTACTAATTAATACTATGGCAAAGATCCCCTCCAGGTCTCTAGCTCCAATTTAAATGAAAAATTGGGATAGGGGTGTGATATCCACACACCCCTTTTTACTTCTCACACACCTTTCTAATTTTCAACTGTTGGATCGGATGAATTGAAGAAAATCAACGGATAAAAATTAACAAAAGATGTGTGAGAAGTAAATAGGGGTGTGTGGATAACACATCCCATTGGGATATTGGAGCTAGGTCAGAATTCATGCATGATTTGTAGTCATGTCAGGCGGACGGACACAATTAAATAATAAATTACAAAAAAGGAAAAATTACACGGATCAAGCATTAAGTAACACCTGATCATCATGGGGATTGGGATGTTAGGGATTGGGGGAGTACTATCATCAGTCAGGGCGCAGGACCCAGGACTCAGGACTAGTACTGTACGTAACGTTCTTCTTCCCATTGCATGCATGCTTGTATTTAACCGATCGAGATATATAATTTACATTACATGGCCGTCCAGCAGGAGGAAGTTCGTGGGTTCCAGACGGCGGGGAGCATGAACTTCATGCCCTTCTCTCCCACGGCATTGTAAGACCCACCAGTAGCGCGGTCGACCTCAACCTTGCCAGTCTTCCCTGGGACAGCTCCGCTTCCGAAGATGTTTTCGCAAGCGGTGGCGGCCTCGACGGGGTCGCTCTTTCGTCCCGGCTTGAAGAATCCAGTGTTGAATGGGTTCGTGACGGTGGCAGCCAAGCCGGAGGCGAAGTTTAAGAGCATGGCGTCAATGCCCATGTTGCTGTTGGGGGGCTTCACCGTCACTTGATTAGGAGTACCGTAGTCCAGCCTCTGGAATGGCCAACCGCAAGCCCCGGGACACTCGATTTCAGGGTTTCCGACGACGAGGTAGGGTCTGTTCTCAATCAAGCCGTGCTCATAGCATTTGCCACGGCACAAGCTGTGCACCGTCACTTGGCTCCCTGTGAAGATCACGTTAATAGTGTTGGGCTTTCCGGAGCCGGCCTTATTCACCAGTCTCTTGATGAACTCAAAGGTTATCACTTTTCCGATCGAGTACTTGTCGTCGCTCTGCTGGGCCCCCACCTTGATCCGGAGTCTGGGTGGAGTACCTTTACCGGGGTTTGGACCAGCGAACAATTGGTAGCTCTCGATGACGTCCCACCACCTGTGCACGGCGGCGACGTGATCGTTCTCCGTGTTCTCGAGGGATCTCAGGAAACTCCGGATAACGTTCTTTTGTTCGGCTGTGAACTGGCCGTAAAATAGGATGGAAAGGTTAATGTCGCCGGTCATGAGAGGCCCTCCGTGGTATGTGATGGATCCGCCACCTCCAGGAGCTGGGACGCTGCCGCCGGCAGTAGGTGCTAAACCACCAGCGTGTACGACACCACCGGGCTTGCCGCCAGCAGTTACAGGTGCACTACCTTTTCGACCGCCACCTTTTTGTGCACCGCCACCTCTGTGTGCACCGCTACCTTTGTGTGCACCACCACCTTTGTGTGCACCACCACCTCTGTGTGCACCACCACCTTTCTTTGTAGCACCTTTATTTGCACCGCGGCCTCTTCCCTTGTTGGAAGCCAATACCAAAGTAGTGGTAGTAATATCGATGAGCAATACAAGGCAGAGAGCGAGAGCTGCAAGCCGCCGGTTCCCCAGGCGACTACCCACCACTGGGAGGGAAGATGATGCTGCCATTATAAATTTACTCCTTGCCTCTTTTTTTTCTTTTTTTTTTCTTTTTTTTTCTTTTTTTTTTCTTTTTCAATTGCCACTTTTCTGTCGTTTCCTCTCTTCTGTATCTCGCCCCTATATATTAATGGAAGACACATGTATGCATGCATGCATGCGTGCGTGAGGCTGGAGGCTGAGTTTCCCTCCGCCCCAAAAATTAAGGGCAACTCTCCCTCGAAATATTTCGTTGTCTTAATTAACGGACACACCACTAGACTTGACCACACACTAATTTTGTTTCTGTTTCTGCCAATCAAAAATGAGTAGACTATGTTTAGTTGGGGTTGGGGCGGAGGAAGGGCAACTATTATTATTAATCGATTCGATTCAGTGGAGTGGATACAAGACCTAGTCAAAAGTCCCCACCTTCTAACTATTAATGGAGGCTTATATTCCCCATTTACATTTTGGGCAATATATACTAACGTTACGTGCACTCCCAAGAATTTTTAGGTTTTTTTTTTACTGGAGCCTGGAGGGAGGTGGAGAGCTTATTAGTGACTGTGAGATGACCTTGTCCTAAATTCTATACAATATGTGAGTCGACATTTCATTAAGATAAAATGTACTAATGTGTCGTAGAATGATCGATGTTGTAAAAACAACATTTTGTTCTTGAGGAGCAGTTATTTGGTTCTTTTCCAGATTCTTGAGGTTCAGAATAACTTAAAGATTAAAAAGACCATATTAACAAGTAATCAAGGATCTCACAAGTGACACCCTGTTTGTTATATTTAGGCCTGGTTTGGTACTGAGGTGATTCTGAAAAAATGAGTTTTTTTTGTGTTCGATAAACATTCAGCTTCAGCTTTTTTTCACAGCTTTGGATGAAAAAAAAGCCAAAAACAAGAAGTTGTAAAACCTAACTTTGAAAAACCGGTTTTTTTTCACATCTGTTTTACATAAAAGTTTACCAAACACTACAATACTGTTTTTTTTTCAAAAGCATTTTTACAAAAAAGTTTACCAAACACTCAACAGCTTTATTTCACAGCCGCTTATTCTCACTGCACAGCGGAACCAACTTTTTTTCAAAGCACAACAATACCAAACCAGCCCTTAACTTCATCCAATCCAAGTACAACACTACAACGCTTATTACATTGACATGTTATTCCGCGGTAAATGTAAATGTATATTGGTAAGGTTAAACCCGAATGCATGGGGAGAAAGCAACGTTTATAACTTTGCATCAACATAACTTCCCCTCCTGCTCACTCATCATTGCTCATCTCCGTCCGTTGATCCAACCTCTAATTTGAACAAACAAATCAAACATACTCATACCCTGTACACTCTGCTGCAGTCAGGTTTCTCCTGTTTTGTGCAGTTGATATATGGCTATGGGTTTCTTTACATTTCGCCCACTTTGACACCTTCCTGTCTTCGTTCTTCCGTAGCATTGCAAGCAGAGACTTAAGACCATTCCTCATACAATTCAGCGTTCCTGTAACCAGCTCCCTGCAACATAAAACAATCCCAAAATAACAATCAATAACCTGTTCAGTTTACAAGTACTTGACAAGACAGAGACTTTATTTTTTACAAGTATATAAAACACAATGTCACATGCATCTAAGCTATGGTTCTCTCCACTATTGCACGTTTCTTATTATCTTCTACTAGACAATCCTTTCCCTGCATCATTTTGTTGAGGAATTTCAACAAAAAATGTGTAAACTCTACGTTTTTAATAGCTGGACATACAAGTATAATAACTTACAACTTCAGAGATTCAAGATACCTATATCTAGCAGATAAATGCATATTAATAACAAAAATTAATTGAAAACTTGGTTTTTGTTACGTCTTTCTCCTCATCTTTTAAACTTGTTTATATATTTACATTGCCTCTAAAGAATGCAAATCCATGCAATGGGCCAATCGAGCGAGCTAAACATGTCCACTGCAAGTAGCCAAAATGTTTTATTTTCTAAAAATTCTGCAATCATCTTTTATTAAAGAAAAAGGAAAATATTTTCTTCATCAAAACAACATGGTATATTAGAACGAACCAAAAAAGAAGCATGCTATACTTACAATGGGGAGCAAGGAGATCGGCCACCATTTACATAGTACACAAACAGATATGAATCATAATGCTGACCATTGATCAAGTAAAAGCCTTCCAACCTTCTTACACACATGAATGACATTTTTTGGTACAAATGGATTGCAGAATTATTGTAAGAAATGACGTGCAAGTAAATTGCTCGGCAGGTTGGAATACTTGAGGCATATTTTATGACCTCACGAATAAGTGCTGATGCTGCAAGTCCAAGGAAAAAAAAATTACCAAATGGTGAAAGAAAGTCTTAGCCTCCATAACAAAAAGGAGACAAACTTTTACCTATGCCAAGATTTCTGAAAGATTCTACCACTCCCAGTGTCAAAATGTAGACCAACGTCTGATCTGAATTTGACGAGTCAAAACTGAGCAAATCCCCAATCTACAAGACCAATGGTTTTTTCATAAAAGAGTTAGGGTAAATCAGGAAACTTGAACAAAACAATGCAGCAAACCATACTTCCATATACTTGCAAAATCGTGAATGTAAACCTCGGTAAATACTCCCAATTTTCCAATGACTTCAATTAAACCAGAAAGACCAAATAATAACCAATATAATTTACGGTTAGTGGTGATTCCTCCCCATAAATTCACACAGGAAAGAAAGAGGCAGGAATATAGAGGACACACCTCACTTTCTCTTGCAGGAACAACTCGTGCAGTTACAAATCCAATAAGTTCATCACTTTGACCATTTGGACGACTTCGATCAACAGCTGCCCATGACACAATATCATGTCCATTGACGACATTTTGGAAAAACTCAGCCTCATACCTGTAGAGATTGGCAAAACCTTTTGTAGAAAGCTGTGTCATGGTAGCAAAGAACATGCCCATGCGAAAGTTGCAAATGAGATTACGTACCTAATGGGAAACAAATCAGCATGGATTTTCTCTAAGATCTCAAGGTCAGATGGTTGTATAGGCCTATAGGATATGGCTGGACGCCAGGGAAGTTTTGGGTTCACCATTGGGATTGTGTTGTCAATCCCCAGCAAAGACTTGATATACTTGGAGAATCTGCGCAACTTCTCCTTCCATTTATGCCACATCAGCCACAGACGCCATGCAGTAGTTTACGTCAACTGCAAAAGGAATGACACCTTCCAATAATTTTCATATTTGCAAATCATTAATACAAACAGCAATATGACAATAACAGGTTGAAAAACCTGATGCGTCTATGAAATCCACAAGGTAATGAAGATTAGCACCTTCGAACTTTCAAATATCACTAGGTTGCCTCAAAATATAACATAGAAGTTAGCAGAGTGAGGTGGTAGATGATTTTCTAATGTCCCATTTAATTTCCAAGATGAGATTTGAAAAAAGAAATCTTCTTCGAAAACAACATTCAGGATCAACTACTCTGCAAATTCCAAATTCCCTTTCTTGATCTCATATTTATTGGCCGCTTGAATGTAACTTCTTTGCTTCCAGAATTGAAAAAAAATAAAAAAGAATTGGTAAATTTGTGTATCATACTGAAAAGCAAATTGAGAATAACAAGTTGAGTACATTATCCTGTACAGTAGAGGGTGAGTAGTGTACCACGTGGAGGTAACCGATGTAAGGGCATTGTTTGCCAAGATAATAAGCACAAAGAAGCATAACAGAGCAGGCACGCTTATGCATTATTACAGGAAAAGAGGTGAAACATAAAATCATGGGTACAACAAGTATTTACTTGGACTGACGCTTTCCTTGACAGTGAGTGGGAACAGGACTCTCGAGACGTGATCTGCAGAGTGAACTAGGGACGTCATTGTTTTTGTTTTACCAAAAATCAAGTCTTGAAGTTTATTCCAAAAGAAAGATTATCAGAAAGGTTTATGGGAGTGAATACAGACAGGATCGTGTCTATTCAAGTCAAGATAAGGAACACGATAAATTTGGAATTAAGAATACGAAGAAAAGAGGGCAATTGAGTAGTTGGGAAATTGTGTAATAGTCCAATTGAATCGAATTCTATGAACTGGAAAGGCCTGCAGCTGCAAGAAGAACATCTTACAATCTTCTTATAATGAGAGAGAGACAAACAAGGTCAATTCTTCAAGTGCATCAAACCAAAGTGTGGGGGAATGATGAATTGTCATAGTCAACTGATAACACAAAGTGCAAAAACAAGAGAAAGAAATCATGTAATAATACTAATAGTAATACCAATTGAATTCTTAGAAACAAGAACCGCGTATTAATAATCCTTGTTCCACAGAAAGAAAAGAATATTAACAAGTAATGCCTGACCTGAAGAATAATTTGATAAAAAAAAAAATAAGGAACAGAAAGCAAACTTAGGTGAGAGATCTCAGTCAGGTTACCTTGGTGGGGTGGGGTGGGGTGGGGTGGGTGGCTGCGACGCCGGAAGTAAGGAAGGAAGGATGGGTTTCTGTGAGAAAATAGAGATTTGGAATCCACTAAGTTTGTCGTCTCAGCTTAAGCTCAAGCTCTGTCGAACAAGGAAACATCCATCCATCAAAATTCCAATCCAAAGAGACCAAGACTTTGCAGCAAGGAACCTGTTCCCTTGTTTTAGTTTATTCTCTCTTTTTCTTTATTCTTCGCTTTTCAAGATGGGTTGTGTTGAAGTTTCTTGGGCTCAACTCTTACTCTCTCTCAAACGGGCTTACACAAACAGAAAGCATCCATTCTTTTTTTCTCCGCTAAGCTTTCCTTTTTATTTACCTTTTTTCTTGTGTGTAAATCAATTAATTTAAAAGAATTTTAACGAAAAACTTTTGGTATTATTTACTTTAACGAAAATTCATATTTTTACATTAAAAAGTCAATTATAATACTCTTCAGTTTATCCTTTATTTTGTCTTTATCGTTAAAATTCAAAGTTTTCAAATCATTTTCATTCATTTTCCTTTAATTTTAAGTTTAAGGGCATGTTTAATTATATAAAATAGGAATTCGTAGGTTTTCATCATATGTCCATATCTTTAAAAAAATAAAAATAAATAAATAAATAAAAGAGGAAACGGAAGCGATTTTTCAACTCCATTTTTCTCTTCCTCCATATCTTTTCCTAGCCTTTGAATTTTATATATCAAAACAGAATAAAGGGACAGAAACGTGATAGAAACAAGGAAATGACAATAAAAGGAAAAAACAAGAGTGTAAAAATCCCTACCGTTTGAAACTTAAAAAAGAAAAAAATAGAAAATATATCATTAGTTTACTGAAAAAATGATAAATACATATGTTTGCTTGTTCTATGCTTAATGCTTCTAATCTTGGATGGGGTTCAGGTTCTATACCCCACGTATACGTAGTAACTGTTCAGGATGCCAACCACTCCAACACCAAGAGGTGAATCTGAGTCGTTTGGCATTAGCATCAGACCCAGTTCAAAGTTGAAGGAGAGGAGAGGAGAGGAGACACGGAGAGGAGCTCTTCTTGCAAGGAAACACCACCACCAACCACTTCCAATACTTTATATCATTCCTTTTGATCACTGCTCAAGCCACCACAACTATAATCACAATGATGAGGATGACTCCAAATATCACCAACAGCAAACAAGTCTGCCCAAATATCACAAATAATTAGCAACCTCTATGAATTCAATGCTTTATATATAATAGCTGAAATAAAGAAATTAAACAACTACGTATATCAATCCAGCCAATATATCGCATCCTTTGGTTAAAAATTTTGAATAGCAACTTATCTTGGAGTTGAATACACAAAACAAGAGAAAACAGGAATCGGGTTGAACAAACTCGTGTTGAAGGAAAAGAAAATTACCAGAGATGAATTAGATCTTTGGGTCTTGGATGCTTTCACAAGGTGGGAGGTAGCTTGCACAGTTGCAGCGTGGGAGTTCTCAATGTTAGAACCAATATCATCTGAAAAACACACATATACAGACAGCATCGTTCAAAGCAGGGCACACAAAGTACAAGTGACTCAACAAACACAAATTCAATTTCCGAGTAACAATGAACAGAAACTGGACTAACCGATTATAGCTCCTTGATCATGGACCAGTACAGCTAGATCTTTGAAAATCTCATTAACCTCACTGATCTGTTGTTGAATTTCTTGGATCCCTTGCTCCCTTTCTTCAATAATGGCTTCATTGAATGCAATCTCATTGTCCGCAAGTACAACCTCTTGTCTGCATACAACATATTCAAATCTATAACTTAACCATGGATTCCAGTTGCATCACATAAGGCACTCAACATCTAGGGCAATAACTAATTTGCAGGGCAGGTCCCAATTACTGGAGAATGTTACGCAGTTAGAAGATGTGTTTCCATATAAAATAAAAAATAAAAAATAAGGAGAAAACATCACCATGGGAAAGAATATACATTCACCTGGCCTATCAAAGCTCACAAAACAATGAGAGGGGTCAACACAATCCATGTAACAATTTTATCGGTGAAATGGAGAACCTTTAGGATCAGGCACAAAAGAAAAATCCCAATAACTAGTTAAGAAGGTATTCCTTTCCTTTTAAGGGACGTGGCTCATCTAGAAACTCGAAGATTGCTATGGTTTTAGGATGACGAATTTTCCTTCAGGGTATTAGAGAGACAAATAACAGAAGTTTCTCAACTTCTGGAAGTATATTAAGTTGCCCACCTTTTTGATTCTAGAAGAAGAGTTTGCTGTTTGGAACTCCTAGATGAACTCATCTCCTGCTCATGGGCAGGATGACTGCACAATACGATGAAAGGAATTGATGAGTAGAACATATAAATAATAAAGAGAAGAATTAAAGTTAAATCATCGATCAACTTAGACGTGCAAGGTTACACTTTACAGAAACTTGAATGCTTGTGTAAACGCGTGTTCCTTTTAGTAAGAACATGTAACAAGATAATACCTGGATGGAAGAACGTCTTTGGGAACAAAGGGAGCATATGTTGTTTCCCTTTCAGCTGCAAGCCTCTGAGCCTTCTGAAATTCTTTGAGAACCGCCTGGAAATCCTTTGCAAGCTTAGCATCCGTAATCTTCTTGACAACCTGCAGTTTGTCACCCAAAAAGGGTGAAGTCCGATAATAACAGCTTACTGAACATAGTTAGACAGGTATAATGAATTGAATGCTTACAGTAACTTGGGCATGGTGATCAGTTTCACTAGCTTGCTTGAGTTTGTCTGAAGTATCTTTCACCAACTGCCCAATATGCGCCCTTGTCTTACGCCTGCCAGTGCAAACTCCCAATTCCCAATTTAGATCAACAGTGAATTAGGTCGGAACATTGGTAACTCTCAATGTACAATCAATCAATCAAGCAAATTATATGTTTATTATACAAACCTAACAAGAAATTGAAAAGACGGGAAGAATTATTATTAAGAAGAAGAAGAAAATGAGAATATGAAAAGTAGTACTGACAGCTTGTCGCGGAGTTGAAGGGTGTCTTTGGGGGTGCCGAGGGAATTGACGAGGCGGTAATAAGTGGATACGGCGGTGTTGATCTGGAAAATCCCGGCAGACAGGGCCTGAGACGGCTCGTAAAGATATTGATTTCGATTTTGCTGCTGCTGCTGGTTCTGAATTGCATTCGAGTAAACGAAAGGTCGTCGTTGTTGCTGCTGTTGCTGTTGGGGAGAAGAACCAGCCTCAAGATCTTGGAAACTCATTCTTCCTTCCACTTTTTTTTTTTTTTTGTTGCTTCTTTGCTGCTGCTGCTGCGGCTGTTCCCTTCCTTGTGTTTTGGAGTTGCTTCCCTTGGATTGCGGTGTTTGGTGGTTGGCTGCAGACAAAGACTGACCAAGGAAATTTCGTTGGTATGGTTTGGTTTGGTTTGGTTGTTTTGTTACAATGCCTTTACAATAAGTACAGTTGATTCAATCCAATCACTTCTTTCTCTTCTCTCTCAGATAAAAATCCAACTCTACTCGATAGGAAAGGTCAAACTATGTTGGTATTCCGGCAAGACGGACTCCCCACCGTCTCACCCCACCCCACCCTCCTAAATGTCCGCCAGTGGGACCCTCAAGCGACAACAGCTGTTCAAGGCTTTAGCAGGCCTCAGAGCCAGCCCAATTTTATAACGTTGGATTGGGTTTCGGCCCAAATTATAGCAACTGACATCACCTGACTCACTCGTAACATACTTTGCCACGCAGCCCTCCTGGCACCCTCCCTAACAACCGCTTTCCTCCCTCCCTTCGTCCCTCTCTGTATCTCTCTTTCTCTCATTCTCTCTCTCTCCTTTTATTTCTTCTCTGGAATCAAGCAAACTGCAAACACGCCTTCAGTTTGATGATGGAGGTGAGTGCAATGTCATTTTTTTTAAGTGTATATGGTTTGATTCATTTTGTTATCTCCTTTCTTAAATAAATATCGTTACCTTACCGAATTAAAAAATTTGGTTTTGAATGTTTGATCCCGTTTTATGTAATGTTGTTGGATTTTATGATTCTACGCTCTGTTTTTTTTTGTTTTTCATTTACAAATTGTGATGAATTCAAATAGAAAATTTGTTGCGGAATCTGAATTGTGAGTCTTTAGTGCTTCTTGCATTTAGGAACACATCCCCTTATACAGTATTAGTCCGATCTAACTTTTTTCTTTTTCATTTTTTTTTTCTTTTTGGAAAGGAAAGGGCTTTATTTTAATTTCTTTAATTTGTACTAGAAAGCATTTCCTTTCCATAATTACACTTGTTCTCTTTATCGAAAGGAAAGTGCTTTTGTTTGTGGTAAGTATCCGTTTGAAACTTTGGCTGTAACTGTAAGAGAGCATAGTATAGGTTTTCTGATGTTTTTCAGTAGAATGCCAGTTGTGCAGATGTGATCATCGTTAATATGGGCGTGCTATGATTTATACAATGCGATCGTCATTTCTTTACTCCATATTCATGCTTACATGCATCCACTCAATTTCACATGACAGATAAGGACGGTGAAAGTTAGCAATGTCTCCCTCGGTGCAACGGAACTTGATTTAAAGGACTTCTTTTCCTTCTCTGGTGATATTGAATACATTGAAATTCAAGGGTTGCATTTCTTCTCTCTCTCTCTCTCTCTCTCTTCCGTTTGCTAATTGTCTTAATGCATTGAGACGCAGGAAGTTTATTTCTTTTCTTCTTTATTGCAGTGACAGCGAGAGGTCTCAGGTTGCATATGTAACCTTCAAGGATTTCAAGGGGGCAGAAACTTCAGTGCTTCTTTCGGTCATTCACTTCTGAACGCTTCTCTAGTTTTCTTTTTTCTCTTCTTGTCCTTTTTTTCCTTAGTTGTTTAACTTATGTTCCCGACATTTTACTTTTTTTTGTGAACTTGCCTATCTAATGGAAACCGGGTGGAATCTGATATTCTGATTACTCTAAATCAGTTTTATTGTCATCTCATCTGATTTTCTTAATTATGTGTCTTATCTTTCAGGGAGCAACAATTGTCGATCAGTCCGTTACCATAGATCTGGCTCCAGATTACAAGCTTCCAGCTGCTGTGGCTTCAGCACTTCCAACTGTAATATTATTTTCTAAGGGCACCTTTTCGTCTATCATCGATAATAATTGCTTCTGACGGCGTTCAGTTTTTCATCCTCCACAGGCAACAGAAAATTTTAGTCCTGTTGGTGCTCAACCTGCTGTTCACAACGCAGAGGATGTCGTGAGCAGCATGCTCGCCAAAGGATTCATTTTGGGAAAAGATGCGATCAACAAGGCAAAGGCCTTTGATGAGAAACACCAGCTTAGTTCCACTGCGACGGCCACAGTTTCTTCTTTGGACCAAAAGATTGGTTTCACTGATAAACTTAGTGCTGGCACAACCATGGTAAATGATAAGGTGAAGCAAATGGATGAAAGGTTTCAGGTTTCTGAGAAGACCAAGATTGCGTTTTCAGCTGCTGAGCAAACGGTGAGTAGTGCTGGATCTGCAATCATGCAGAATCGTTACGTATTGACTGGGACATCATGGGTAACCGATGCTTTTAGAAGGGCTGCCAGGGCGGCAACAGAAGTGGGCCAGAAGACGACGGAAAAAGTTTCAGCTCAGGAAGAGGGTGGAAGGAAAGTGGAAGGAAGTGATCCGGTCCAGTAGTGAGTCCATTCTCCGACATCTGCTAGCTACTAAAAGCAACCTTCCCAGCCTAGCACGGAACCAAGGGTTCATGGTCTCATTTGCGTGAGCTTTTTACTAGTATGTTATATAAAGTTCATATTTCCTTCTACAAGGACACGGTTGGTAGTAGTAGCAGTAGCACTTTCCTGTTTGTTTGGAAATGGAAGTTGTGATGTAGAGGAGGAGGAATTGATGATACGTGTGATTTTCTCATGAATGAAAACTTTGACATTCTTTCGTTGCCGCTTATATAAATTCAATTGTCTTATGGAAGTCTTAACAAAACATTCATGGTAGTGTTCATTTTTAACTTTTAAAGACATTTTTACTCTAAAAAGTCACTCTTTGTACTATTCACTTACAACACATTTTTGTCCTTTTGGTTAAAATTCAAAGTTTTCAAATCATTTTCATTAGTTTTCCTTTGTTTTATAGATGAACCAGTCGTTTGTTTCATACGAGCAACCATACATATCACATCATTCTGATCAAACGATGTACAAATAAAAACAATACAATTAAGCAATATTTACATAGACGTGTTGTAAACTTGCGGATGACTTGATCAAAGTTGTCCAACTACATTAGTTAATAGATTAACAGAGAAAGAAAGGAAAAGGTTGTGAAATTCAGACTTGAACGTTTCCCGCTGCTGTTATTTCCAAGTGAGGGTTGACTGGTTGTTGAGGGAGGATGAGGCGGAGGTTTGCAGGAGTTTCTAATGAGCTTACAAGTCCTTTGTTAAAATTAAATCTGAACCGTTGATTACTTGACTGAAGAAACAGAGGCTCAGATTTGATCAAGCACACGAGCAGGGGAGAATATCTGGGGCCTTGTAATGCAAGTTTGCGTGTTAGTGGGGCAAAGGTTAGGAATTGAAATCCGACGGTGCGAGATGAGAATATGAAACCATTCGTCATTCAACAACTTTGACGTTGAGGACTAACGGCCAAGGAGAATAGTCCACGCGGCTTAGAAGCAACCGCTCTAACCCAATTTTCTATTTTCTCATTTCAATTTCTTCTTCTTCTTGCCTTGAAGATGAAGGTATACCCTAGGCCTGGGTGCGGTTGGCAAATCATGTCAAATTTTTTGTGCTATTGACCAGCCACGTATACATAATTACTGAAAATCAGTTACCGCTAGCCAATTATCTTCTTGTGGTTGTCAAAAATCGGTTCAGTCAAAATAATTGGCTGGTTTGGTTGGTAAATGGCACAACCGGTGGTTTCCAAATAAGCTATAAACAAATAGCTCAAGACCATGCACCTACCAGTAAAAAGAGAGAAGAGAAGTTGTTGCCGCAATTTTTCAATTGAAGATAAGCTAACATAATCATGACTTAAAAAATTAAAATGGAAATCAAATCAAAACTTAATAAGCTAACAACAATTGTCAACAAACATAATCCAAAAATCTAACTAATATAATTGTCTAAATTCAACTGTAGCAACTAATGCATAAACAAAAAACTCAAAACTCAAAAATATGGTTCTGGTTATAAGATCCCCTTATAACCAGGGAGGTGTGCGTTGAAGAAAAGAAGAAAACTGAGAGATCAAGGCTGCTCGAAGTCGTGCAAGAGTTAGGAAAAAAATTGAACAACCTTTATTTTTTAGACCCTAAAACTGAGGAGTCATTTATTTTCTAAAACCCTAAAACTGAGGAGTCAAGCATGTAAAAAATACCTAAAATATATAAATAGAAAATATATTTATATAGATATTGTTCGGTATAACATACCGCCTTATACAAAATTCAATATCAAAGTCATACCATTAATTATCGGTTCGGTATAATGTCAAGCGATTATGAAAAAATGTCAAAACTATATCATACTATTATGAACCGACCGGTATGTTTCTATCGATAGATCGATTTATGGTAAAATTTCCCACCCCTAATATACCGCAATAGAAAAGTGTTTTTTTTGGCCAAATCGGATAAATAAATTATCTATGTGGTCATAAGGTATTTGGAAGATAGCCTCTGTGCTAAAAAAACTCGGATTTAAACCCACATGGTTTACTCCGTCAGCAAATTTAGTCTAAACGTGATTTTTCCGTTAACTATCTGTTAATACATGGGTAAAATTGTACTTTGACATTTGAACTCTTCCTCGTCTCTCTGCTCTCTCTGTAATTTGAATTTTCACAAAACCAGTTCTGAGAAAGTCGTCATTGAGATCGGCAATAAGCTTCAAGATTGGCCTCTCGTTGCTTTCTACGAACAGTAAGAAAGCCGTCACTGAGATCTCCAAGTTCGCTTTGGGCTCGCTGTGGCTTAAGAACAAATATGTAGAAGAAGGTAAAGCTATTGATGATGGCGGTGGTCACGTGCCGGGAATAATGGATGAGGTTCTCGGTTTCTTCACTGAGATTTCGATGATGTCGGACTGCTCGACCAACTTTCCTAAGACGCTTGACCATGGTAAAGTTGTTGAATTTCACTTCAAATTGAATACAATGTTGGTTTTGCCTATTTTCTTTGTGCTTGTTGCTTTAATTTTCTAATGAAGTTGTGGAGAATTGAAAATAAATCACATTTCTGGGAGGAAGCTTTGATTTGTTTCGAAGAAATCAAAATTTATTCGAAAGCTGTTGTGATGATTTTTGTTTGGTTTGATTTTGTGTTCTACTTTTGTAATGGTAGATACCGGAGTTGGAATCGAAGATCTCTTAATCTGTTTGTGATTGCGATACAACGATTGACAAGATAATTTGAAAAAATTGATATGACATTTGTGCTGGCAAGTTTATGCTGATTGAATTTGAATCAGACATGGTGTTGTACAAATACAAATTACAGACCTTCTTCTTATCCATACTTGTCAGACATGGTGTTATGAAAATACAAATTACAGACCTTGTTCTTATACATTGGACAATATAAAGACGAGGAAAACGGAGGTGCACAAGTCAAAGTACAATTTTAACCATGTATTAACAGATAGTTAACGGAAAAATCACTTTTGGACTAAATTTGCTAACGGAATACACCACAGGAATTTAAATCCTAATTTTTTTAGCACATAGACTATTTTCCAAATACCTTATGATCATGGGATTATTTATCCGATTTGACTTTTTTTAGACTAAATGAATTAATCCATGATCAATTCGTCTAAAGACAACAACCGCTCCATGTAATAAAAAAATTCTGAGTTTAGAGTGGAGTCAGTGGACTATGTCATACGTTATTTCACGTATATAATAAAGAGACAAAAACTATTACATTATAAACGTTGTATCGCAATTGACGAATTAAATGATTTTACTTCTATATATTCTAGATCCTCCGATTTGTTAATAATTGTTGTCATATTTAATCACAAGTTGGGAAAAAATGCCATCTGTCCTCCTAATTAATCAGTAAACATGTACACGCGTACCATCAGAAATATTACGTTACTTATTGAGGACAAATTGTAATTTATTATGACAATAAAGTGTGAATGTGAATAATTACATTTTTTTATATTTCTTACTTTTGCAGGGTGTATGCCCTATTAACCTACAAATTGATCAACACGCTAAACTGAGGTTGGTGTAACCTTTAATTCTAAATCAGTGATGGTGCCAAATAATTATAGGAAAATGCCATAAAGATTAAGTTTTTAAATCAAAATATACAAATTAAATTATGTATTACAAATAAAAAATAAGCATGTTAATTAATACTTAATTAATAATTTGATGATCAACAAACACATCATTTATTTTACACAAAATTTATTTTAGAATTTGCCTCCCATAATTATATTTTGTTTTCCAAATTAATTAATTAATTAAAAAGAAGAGAATGAAAAGAAAAAAAAAATCAGGTAATGTGGTTACGTTAGCAAACGTAGAAGAGAGAGAAAAGGGCGCTGAAAGGCTGAAACTCCAAGGTAGGAAGGGGAGAGCTTTTATTCACTTTACTTAGTCGTTGCGCCTAGTCGTCTCAAGACTTCAGAGTCCCAACCCAGCCCCCACTCCTACGCGCAGAGAAAGAGAGAGAGAGAGCTCCCATTTCCTTCCAGAAACAAACGAAAGAGGTAAGCAGGCACGCACACAATTGTCACCCTCTGTTTTCAATTACGTATTCTTTGGATTTCCATCCAATTTTAAGTTTTAACCAAATATCGGATTCTTTTCCATTCATCATGACGATATCTGGTCTGATCGATTCCCATTTTTCATAAATACTTGCTTGGTTGCTGAGAAAAGCATAAGAAAAGTCATCAAACCAAAAAAGAAAAAGAGCTTAAGAAACTAAATTATGGATTGTTGACTTTATATAGGATTTTTGGAAATTAAAGTTACAGCCTTTGAACGGTTTCAAGAATTTTTATTTGAGGTATCCATCAAGTATCCCCCTTTAATTGTTCTCTGTTCCGTTTGGTTGTCAAGAAAATTGAAGGGCATAAAAGGGAGGGATTCCGGGAAAGAAAAGTTCCAGCTTTGCCAATCATTTTGGGGTTTAAGGTCGATTTTTATTACAGTTTTCTGCTTTCGATTTCATTCTTTCCATTAGTTATGGATCCTTTGGGTTTTGAGTTACTCAAAGATGGAGGAAAAAAAAAAAGAAACTAATTGTAATTAGATTGCTTAATCTTTAGGCTTGGCCCCTGATAAAGCGGGGTGAAAATTCTTCTTCTTTGGCTTTGAATATTAGAAATCTTATATGATATTTCTTCTTTGCAACAGAATTATATCTTTCCCATCTTTTATGACAATTAATTAGTATTTATCATACATTTTCAGGAAAACTTTTTGAAGGTTTTTATTTAAGACTTAAAAGGTCTGCAACGATGAGTGACAATTTGATGGAGAAAGTGAGCGCTCTTGGCGAGCGCCTCAAGATCGAAGGCACTGAGGTCGGTCGAAAAATGAGTGCTGGATTTAGCTCAGTGAGCTTCAAGGTGAAGGAGCTCTTCCAAGGCCCAAACCAAGCAGATAAGATCGTTGAAGATGCCACATCAGAGGCACTCGAAGAACCTGACTGGGCTATGAATCTTGAAATTTGCGACATGATCAATACTGAAAGAGTTAACAGTGTTGAATTGATTCGTGGGCTGAAAAAGCGGATTACGTTGAAGAATCCTAGGGTCCAGTACCTTGCGCTAATGCTGCTTGAAACATGTGTTAAGAACTGTGAAAAGGCTTTCTCAGAAATAGCTGCGGAGAGAGTTCTTGATGAGATGGTGAAGCTGATTGACGACCCTCAGACTGTTGTTAATAATCGCAATAAAGCTTTGATGCTGATCGAAGCATGGGGGGAATCAACCGGTGAGCTCCGGTATTTGCCTGTTTATGAGGAAACATACAAGGTACCTGTAAACCTTTGGTGCATGTTTCATATCTTGTGTCAAATTTATCTTACATCTCGTTCTTTCATGACTAGAACATAGTTAAAGACAAATACCACTTCTGTTACCCCTGAGTTTAGCTGGACAGATAGGAAGTACTTAAAATTTTGAAACAGCCATCACAATTTGTCCTGAGGTTCTTCCTATGCGGTCTGATTGCAGCTGACTAGGAAATGTACAATTTAGCCTCGGTACTAGAGTGATCAGAAAAGAATTTAGCTGGCCAGTTTACCATTGGTAAGGAATACAACGCTTAATGTTGAATAAGAAACTGAGTAACACCCTAAATTGGAAGTATACCGTACTTCATAACTTACGTGGCTTTTATGCCTACTATTATCCTTATCCACAATCTGATTTTCTTGAGCCTCCATCGTGTTGGGTGGTGCAGTTGTTAGATCTATATTTCTATTGTTTGAAGAAGTGGTTTCATGGTGCTTATAATTTTATGCTTGGACCACCTCAATTTCAGAGTTTAAGATCAAGGGGTATTCGGTTTCCTGGTCGCGACAATGAGAGTTTGGCACCAATATTCACTCCCCCTCGTTCAGTTTCTGCTTCAGAGTCGGATGCTAGTTTTTCCCAGCAGATTCCGGTTGAGATTCCTGCTCAAAGCTTTACGGGTGAACAAACAAAGGAAGCATTTGATGTTGCAAGAAACAGTATTGAGCTTCTTAATACTGTTTTCTCCTCTTCACCCCAACAAGATGCTTTACAGGTGATTTTTATGTTGTTTTCTCACTTGCATATCCTCTTTGAATCCTGCATCTAATCTGTTAATATATGGGATTTCTGTCACCTACATTCTGTGAGATGCATGGAACTTTCAATGTCGCAACTTTTTCTTGTGTTATCGACTGATCAATATGATTTTTACTTGTTTTTTCTTTTTTAGGCAAGTCAGTTTTAGGGACACTACCTATACTCAAACTTAAAATGGGCCTTTGAAAATAGGTGAATATACCACTTGGCCTGTTCCATAAGACCATATCCCATCCAATCTAGAACCAAGTGGTACTGGGTTGACCTTAAGACGACATCCTCCATGGGAACAGCCAGTTCAAAGCTAATTTAACTCATAGAACAATGTCAGCCCAACTAGGAATATGAAAACTTGATGCAATTATAATGCTGCATGAGGGCATATGTTATCTTATTCAATTATGTATGTTTGTTCAAGAATAACTAGTTATATATTTATATTTGGGAACTAAGAATTAGATTGAAAGAGATATGGATTAAATGTTGTTGTCTCATTAGCAGGATGACTTGACGGCCACACTTGTACAGCAGTGCCGCCAATCTCTATCCACTGTCCAGAGAATTATAGAGACAGCTGGAGAGAACGAGGCCTTGCTGTTTGAAGCATTGAATGTGAATGATGAGATCCATAAGGCTCTATCCAAGTATGAAGAACTGATAAGGCCTTCAGTAGTTCCAACTGCGCCGGAACCTGCAATGATACCTGTTGCTGTGGAGCCTGATGAATCGCCAAGTCATGTGAAAGAGGATTACTTGATTAGAAAACCAGCTGCTTCTCGAGGTTTGGTTCATGCAGGGAGCAACGATGACATGATGGATGATCTTGATGAGATGATATTTGGCAAGAAAGGTGGAAGTCCATCTGAAGGAAGCCAAGATCCGAAGAAGCAGCAGACGCCAGCAAAGGATGACCTGATCAGCTTTTGATATGGTTTAAATTTATAATTCAATGTACTTACTGGAAAACTTTGCTGGTGTTAGCACCAGCAAAGTTAGGTGTTGATTGTTGGAGATGTTGAAGTTTGATGTTTGAAAGATTTCACCTTGAACATATATGTGGTCTCTTTTTTTTTTTCCCCCTCTCTTCCTGTTCTTCTCAGTACATTGACCATTGTTTCTGCACATTTTGGGTAAGTAATCAAATTTGGATGCACAGTATCTATGCAGTGGCCTTCATAGCTGAGATATTGTTGAGTTGTATCGCGTGTTTATCTCTTTGATTTATGTCTCGTGAAATCCGCACGGGCTAGTGCTTAGTTTTTAGAGTAAATTGTTGCAATGTCCCTCAACTTTAATCAAATTGGAGTAATGTTCTCTCAACTAAAAATTCATTACCATTGATTCCTCAACTTATCAAAATGTGTAGTTATAGTTATTTTCATCAATTTCGTCAAAACTTTGTCAAAATAAGTTATGTTGGAATAACCATTTATATAATTAGGGTCCCTCCAAAATGTGTAATTATGGTAATTTTCGTCAACTATATCAAAAAATTTGTCAAAAAGAGTTATATTGGAAGGACCATTGTTATAATGAAGTTAAAGTTAAGGGATCATTTCTCCAGTTGAATTAAAGTTGAGGGACCGATGGTAATGAATTTTTAGTTGAGGGACCATAGTTGCACGTTTTGATGAGTTGAGGGACCAATAGTAATGGATTTTAAGTTGAGGAATCATTGCTCCAATTAAGTTAAAGTTTAAGGATCATATCTACAATTTACTCTAGTTTTTAAGTATGGCACACAACTGTGGAGCCAAAAATATTCACTAAGCGACACGTGGACTTTTGACAAAAGAAGACAAAACTACCCTTGAGGCATACCGGGATTCCTACGCGCAAGCAGCAGACAATTATCCCTCAACCAAGTCAAAAGTACCCAAAATAGGTATAAACTTAAAACCTAATTTATTCATATATTTCTCATTTCATTATTTAGCTAAATAATATACTTATTCCTTCCTAAAATCATAATAATTGACTAATTAAGGGATTAATTACCTAATCAATCCCTTAATTATCAATTGAAACACCCATCCAAACCTAAAACTACTAAAGTGGCCGGCCAATCCCATCAAGAAAAGTAAACCATCTTATTCTCCACATTTTCCACTATTTTCCCTTTTTAATTACCCTAATTAACTAGCCAATTAATTCCAAAAACCACCAAAACATTCATTTTATGTTTAAATAGCCAAATAAATTGGCTAATTAAATCTAAATCAAATACAAAAACCCTAGCTAGGCCGGCCACCCCTATACCTATAAATAGATTCCAATACTCTAGCAAAAATCCCAAAATTCTCTAAACACTATTTCTCTCTAAATTCTAACTTTGACATCGGAGGTTCTTTGGCCAAAGCCCTCCCCATTCATCGTGGGCGCGAGAGGCTTGTTGCCATAACCAAAGGTGTTATTTATTTTGTAGGTGCAATTTTGTCCAAAATCAAGGAGGAAGAAATTTGCATCCACAACAACCTCTTTCCTTGATGGCTACCAGATCAAGGCCTTGCTTGTAATCCATCCAATTTTCCTTATTTGTAAAGTAAGTTTTAGCTGACGGCCTTAACCATTCATTAACTCATTACTCGTCGACCTCCTAGTGAATGATTCTGTTCAAAGCTCTAGTATGACATGTTATTTTTATCTCTCTCGTCACGTAATTTTAACATTTATTAAAATATAGAATATGTAAAGGTCATGGTCTAAAATATTCATAATATCCCTATATTTCCATCGAAATTTTCGTGTTTTTGGACTACCGATATTTCCGATATCATCGATATTTTAGACCTTACTAAGTCACTCATGTATCTTACCATGCAATGTATAAAGTGTAAAATATTGTACTAATTCATTATATATAAATGATTATGGTGTGTTTAAACTGCTTTCATTAATTACTATATATTTCCATCGAAATTTTCGTGTTTTTGGACTACCGATATTTCCGATATCATCGATATTTTAGACCTTGCTATGTCACTCATGTATCTTACCATGCAATGTATAAAGTGTAAAATATTGTACTAATTCATTATATATAAATGATTATGGTGTGTTTAAACTTCTTTCATTAATTACTACATATTTTCTACACTCACAATGTTTGCCAGCTCGCTATATAATCAACTTAAATCAGTTATATGTATCATACAATGCATTTCTTTCCAATTTTTTATGATAAACTAATAGATAATTGACTAAATAAACATGCTGAAAATTTTCAATAAAAATTTCTAAGTTTTTCTTATAATTTCCATGTTTTTTATTTAATTTTTATCGATATCGATAATATTCAGATATTTCCTTCAAAATTTCCGTATTTTTAAACTATCGATATTTTTGATATTTAATATTTGGGTCCAAGCAGGCTCCAGCGTGTCGATAAACAAGTGGGCATTTTAATTTGTATTTGCATCGCCGTCATCGGAGATGAATAAAACAATGAGGAGTTTAAGGGCTGTTTTGATATTGCTATGCTTTGAAAAAAAGCTGCGGTGAGAATAAGCGGTTGTGCTGTGAGAATAAGCGGCTGTGAAATAAAGCCAGTAGAGTGTTTGGTAAACTTTTTTGTGAAAGTGTTTTTGGAAAAAAAAGCAGGATGATAGTGTGTCTTTTCATTAAAGGAGCACTGTAGCTCCGTGTGCTTTGAAAAAACTGGCTTTTTTTCAAAGCAGCAAATAGCAGCTTCAGCTTTTCCTTTGATTTTCAGCTTATTCTCACAACAGCTTCCAAAATAAACCTTTTCTTTTCAGTTTACCAAACATAAAAATGACCCTTAACTTTTTTTCACAGTGGCTTTTTTTTAAATCACCTCAATCCAAACGGGGACTGAGTAGAAGAGAAGGCTCTCACAGGCTCACTGAGAATGCCTGCGAAGCAGATGGCCAGATCCAAATCCCCAGTGCTTCTCATGCTTCTGGCTCTCCTCGCCCTCTCCCTTATCTTCCTACTCTTCTCCTTCCACAGCCCCTCCACCGCCGACCCCTCTGCCATCCTCCACCCTAACCAACCCACTTACAAACCCGAAACCTCCTTCGTCGCCTCCCTCGAGCGCTTCCTCCTCGCCCACAAATCCCGCCCTTCCAAGCCCCGCGATGACACCGTCCTCACAACGCCCACCCAATCCCAACTCAAGCACCTGGACGATCTGGTCTTCCAGAGCGACAGCCACAGGTTGTACGCCGATCCATACTACCCGCTTAGCTTGCCCATGAGGGTTTACGTGTACGACATGCCCAGCAAGTTCACTTACGATCTCCTCTGGCTCTTCCGAAACTCTTACAAGGAGACCTTCAATCTCACCTCTAATGGCAGCCCCGTCCACCGCCTCATTGAGCAGGTTTTACTTTTTGTACTTGTTATTGTTACTAATTCCTTTTTAATTTTCTTAATGGAGTATTTGGATGCGGATGAACTGAATTGACGGGGCTAATTTTGTGCAGCATTCAATCGATTACTGGCTGTGGGCGGATTTGATAGCTCCGGAGTCAGAGAGGCTGTTGAAAAGCGTAGTGAGAGTGCATAGGCAGGAGGAGGCAGACCTCTTCTACATCCCATTCTTCACCACCATCAGCTTCTTCTTACTGGAGAAGCAGCAATGCAAAGCACTTTACAGGGTCTGACTGCCACCCCTCCCAAGGTTTCCCTTAATTGCTTGCTAATTGCTGCACATCATCCATACATATATATGTGTGTGTGTGTGTGTCATAAGTTCATAACATATCTCACATTGTTAGCATCATGTAATGCGCATTTAACTTAAACCTTTGTGCCCTTCTGCGTGTTCGACTGTATTTTGACCCTTTCGTACTGTTAAACTTATCTAGTACTATTGTTGTTATTTGTGTACGAAGGAAGTTGTCAAGTGGGTCACCGATCAGCCTGCCTGGAACCGATCCCAAGGACGGGATCATATTCTTCCTGTTCACCATCCCTGGTCTTTTAAGTCTGTTCGCCGCCTCATGAAGAATGCAATTTGGTTGCTTCCTGATATGGACTCCACTGGCAACTGGTCATTATTCCACTTTATTTCCTTCCTGAGCTCTAAATTCACTAAAGATCATTACTCCGCTCAAGCTGGTTTAACTCTATTTTGCTCTACTTATAGGTACAAACCTGGACAAGTCTATCTGGAGAAAGATCTAATTCTTCCTTACGTTGCGAATGTTGATTTTTGTGATGCGAGATGCATATCCGAGACTCGATCCAAGAGAACAACCTTGCTCTTTTTTCGCGGCCGGCTTAAAAGAAATGCTGTAAGCCTTTTGACTTATTTTTGGCTACAAAATGTGTTGATTTGAACTGAACCTGCTGGAAGTGATATAACATTTTCTTTCGGGATTAATTAAAGCAAGAAACGCGTACACTAAAGGAGGAGTTAGGCTTGAGTGCATTCAAAACAATTTTAAATGATAAAAGAACGTGCGTAGGATATAGAGGCGAGGTCTTTTCCGCAGTTAATGGATATCACCGTCAGTGGACTAAAGAATCATTGTGGGATAAAATTTTGTCCCATTCTCAGCTTAAGAACGTCTGGCTCTTATTCGCAGATGCACAAAATGTATTTCAACACGTATAGCTAATTTATTGTGTTCTGATTTCAGGGAGGGAAGATACGCTCACAACTTGTAGCAGAACTAAGTGGTTCTGAGGGTGTAGCTATAGAGGAAGGGACAGCAGGAGAAGCAGGGAAGTCAGCAGCTCAGAATGGAATGCGCAAGTAAAATTTTTTGGATCCTTGCCCTGCTTTGTGATGTAATTTCATTGTATCATCGTTAATTTAGTTGAGTTGGTTTCTCTGTCAGGTCTGTCTTTTGCTTAAGTCCAGCTGGCGATACTCCATCCTCTGCTAGATTGTTTGATGCCATTGTTAGTGGTTGCATACCTGTTATAGTTAGTGATGAACTGGAACTTCCTTTTGAAGGAATACTAGATTATAGGAAGGTATGTATGCCTAAACGTTCAGATTATTGCTCATGGTAATGTCTGTCGAAATCCATCTTTCATGGTGTTTACTTATATCGTTGGTCGTCTACCCATTGTATTCAACAGTTGCTTTTTCATCCTTGCCTGCAGATAGCTTTATTTATTTCTTCTAGTGATGCTGTACGACCAGGTTGGCTTGTAACATTTCTAAGAAACATTAGCCATGCTCAAATAGAGGAAATGCGTCAGAATCTTGCCAAGGTCTGTGACTGAAAATTTGAAGTGAAATGTTATTATTTTGTTGTTGCTGCTATATGTATTCGTATATCTTGTCAAAAGGTTGGAGTAGACATAAATCTTCACGGGGACTGATTTATACTATTTTTGTCTTTCCCAGTACTCAAGACATTTCCTCTACTCAAGTCCAGCCCAGCCCTTGGGTCCGGAAGACTTGGTTTGGAGAATGGTATGATTATCTTGGTCGACAAAACTGTATTGTTTATTACACGCAGCTGCATAAACAAACATAAGAAGCCTAACTCCGGTTTAGAAGTATTGATTTAAGGTTGGTTTGTTGTGCAACAGATGGCTGGTAAGTTGGTTAATATAAAGCTTCAAACCCGGAGGTCTCAACGAGTGGTGAAAGAGTCGAGAAGTGTCTGCACTTGTGATTGCAAGCGCGCCAACTCTACAATCGCAGGTCACTTGTAACTGTAATTAAAGCTATGTGAAAAAACAAAAACAAAATCATATTTTCATCACAAGGAACAACCGGGAAGAACCGCCGTCATTGTTATTCTTCAATCTGGATCTCAGAGGCGGCAACGGTTTTTAGCATGGGGGTGTAGGATAAGATTGGTCATAGGTGCGGTCTTGGCATATCTTAGGTCATTGGGAGCGGAGCAACATCAGTTGAATGAATGTGTGGGAATGTCGAGCTCGGCCCAATGTAGCAGTGTTGATAGCGACATGCTCTATGTGTATCTCAATTCTCAAGTTCAAATTTCAAATGCGTGTTTGGAAAAGGCATCATCTCTCAATATAATATGAATCTCTCTTTCGTGAAAGCGTTCGTCATTCATACGACTGTACGAGCTTGGTTTGGTAAGTGGTTGGGTTGGGTTGGGTAAAGAGACCAAATAAAGCATGTTTTTGGTTTTCCCTCTCTCTCTCTCTCAAAAGTTCAAAACGAAGAAAGGGCAAAGCGTGGGAAAGCGGTGGGGAATGCATGTGCTTGCTTGAATCGGGGGGCCCACGCGGTCACCATCTTTCATGAATACGCCGAGGACCGAGGCAGGAGGGGCGGGCCAACAAGAAAGACGACCCTTATCGGATTTTGCTCCTCATATTAATGATCCTATCTTATTAGATTAATATAAACTTGCTAAATCTTCTCAAACCCACGTCATAATCCCATTTGAAATCTTTATGTATATATTTTTTTCGCTTATTTTTAGCTATGACACATGTACTCTTCATCAAATATGACTTTATCCCGTTACATTACATGCTGTCTCATTTTACTATTTGTACTATTTCTTCATCTCCACTTTACGAATATTGTCTAACTTTAACACAAGTACTCTTCCTCAAGGTTTCTCTTTGTCTTATTTCATCAAATAAGTTAAGAGAGTTGTTAGTTGTGTTGACGTGGCATGGACGATTTAATCTTTTCAACTATGTTGGTTAGGTGACATATGCTATGGCATGTTAGAGGAATCCAGGGGTGATGGGATTTGAGTCAAACTCAAATTAGGGTATGATTTCTCCAGATTGAGAGAGAAATATAAGAACAGAATGTTGAATTTCAAGATTTGTGAATCAATTCCAATGTTTTCGGATCCCTTTCCAAGGATTCTTAGAGTTGTATCTTGAGAGACTCTACCTCCATTGCTCTCCTCTTCTTTATTTTTCTTGATTGAAGAAATCAAGCCCTGATTTGACATCCCAAATCCCTGCACTCGTAGGTTCTACAAAAATAGTTGAAAATACTAAATTGCACATGCCAAAGATAGTCATCATTCTTGATTACATGACCATTAAGTGGCCAAAATAACGAAACTGAATGAAAAAATCGTTAAAGATGCAATATTTTTTTACTACAAGAGAATAGTCTACACTAAATTAAACTATAGCAAGTGATATTTGAACACAAAATTTTATACGCATGACTTTTAACTAATTGAGTTACAAGCCACTTGCAAAAGATGAAGTGATTTAATAAGCAATTATTTGCGTTCAAGTAGTAGTTTTCAAACATTATCTTATTCATTGGTTCGCAAGCATTGTAAGTATAATTGTTTTCTATTTATTTAATAGAATTATACGTATAAATTATAAACGGAGAAGGATATAAAAGAAGATGTGTTGTGGCACCGATATCATGACAGATATGCCATGACAAATCGCACCGATGTACGTAATTCGTGCATATATTCATGAGTCATGACTGACAAGCAAAAACCAAATTTATTAATTTACTACATAGGAATAGGATAAATTTATCTTTGGCTAGTGAGTATTTATATCAAAGTAAATACGAAGGGAAGCGTTGCCACAATACTAAATCATTTTTTTATAAGATGAGAGATTGCCCTTGCATCTTTAGTCATTTTCCATTCCTCATAGTATTGCATTGCCATTTGGTAACCGAGTGGAGTGGAGTCTCTTCCTCTTGTCTTGGTAAATTGGTAATACAGTTGTGTGTATGTGTATATAATTATTAGTTAATGTGAAATTTACAGGCTTTCTTTCTTCTTATTCAAACCAAGTTTGATTTTGATTTCACAAATATCTCCTCAATACCCTTTTCTTTTTTATTTCTCCTTTTTTTGTTTTTTTTGCTTCATGAGATAAGAATATGAGATAGAGAAACTCAAAACAATGCAATGGATTATCGTAATTGAGCGGTTAGTGTTTGGCATGCAGGTGTCACCGAACTAGATCATCTGAACATTTCTTTGTATTATTCGAATGAGGATCCTCTCCGGATTCTCTTTGTGAGGATCCCGAGATCTTCCAATCACGTTCGTTCATCGTAAATCGTGCGGTCATTTTTCGTCAAGTACTGTTTAAATTCAATTTAAAATAAAAAAATTATAATGATTTCTAACCGTACGATGTACGATGAACATACATGATTAGAGAACTCTCAGAATCCTCACAAAGAGAATCTGAAGAAGATCCTCATTCGTATTATTCTCTTTTGTGTTTGGGCAACCGATATAAAGTGCTTAATCTCATTATACTTTTTATAATCACATTTTTTGAAAGGATACTTTTTATAATCACATGAACCGGAAAGGATAGGAGAGTGCCTTCTTTTTAAGTATTTAGTTACTTCCCTTTGACCTTCATTTACCCTTACCCGTTTGCCTTTTACTTTCAACCTTTTATATGCACGGTTATCTACATATTGACTCTTTCTTTATATATAAAATAAAAATAAGAAAAACTACCGGTTTTTGTTTAACCATTCTACAACTATGTTACTTCAAAAATTCAAACTTTTATTTTATTTTAAAAGGCGGGTGACAATGTTATTTTATTTTAATATTCCCTGTCCAAGTTTCCACCCATAGAACGAACGAGAGAGTCAAAACCTTACCATAAACTTACGGACACTGCAAAATCTGAGATGGTGAGGCTTCCCATTTTCTTATTGGCAATAATAATAATAGTAATAAAAATAGAAAGACACCCAATCTTAGACTGTCACACGCAATTCATAACCATTAAGACTAAGCATCCATGAATGAGTCTTTCTTTATTTCTAAATCAATAATATTAGTAATCAATCAAATAAATAAATGCGATATAAATCCACAATTCGCCATTGAAGGAAAATCTGCTGAGAGGGAGCCGGCCATCCACCGCAATTCTAAGTCATACCCACCGACTCTGAACCTTCTCTTTAGTTAAATCCCATTGCATACATGAATCTTTTGTTTTTTTCTACGATACCACTGTAATATGAATCTAAATTCGAATTCAATCAATAAATTATATAAAGTGCTAATTATACTTTTCAATATATACTCAAGAGATATTCAAGAGATAGCGAGTGAGAGAATCTTATGTCCAAGCAAACTTATAAAACTTTCAATATAAAATTAGAGGTGAATGGAGCCATGATGCAAAAAGTGAATATAAGAATTTTCATGTTGCGTGAGGGGGGGGGGGTTTTGACCCGGTAAGCCGTGATACGGACAACATATTTTGTGCTTATTGCTTAGATTAGGAAGTGTGTTGAAAAAATAAAAAGATTTCACATCAAATTTGACAAAATGTAATATAAAATAGACATTTTAATTTTTAATTACATCAAGACATTTGATGATGAAAACTCCTCACTTGTTGTGGAAGTAGGCGAGTAAGATGGAAATTTGAGACATTTGAATGTGATTAGTATTTAGTAGTGCTTTGCCTCTCTAATTTCTTAGAAAATACTTAAAAGTTTAAAAATAATAGGTGAGAAAAGGAGTCGATACAAGAGACAGACCCGTTTGTATCGACGTGCTTGCTTAGTCCTGCTCTCGAGTCACGACCAAGTCCCCCAAGTACCAAACCCCCATTTGAACCCATTCGAGAAGACAAGATATTTTCTCTTTCTCCCCTTGTTTCTTTTGTTCTCAAATGCTGCTGCTGTCCTCCTACTACTCCAGACTAGATAGATACATAACATAACGCAACGGACAATTGTGGAAAGAGAGAGAGAGAGAGAGTGCCGACTCGCCATCTTTGAAATTTGAATTGAACAATTCCCCTTGAGAGTTGAGACAAAACCCCTTGGCTTTCGTTGAGTCTCTTTGCAACCTTTACCCTCACCCCCCCCACACACATGTTTCAGATATCTCTCCTCTTATAAACACTTCGCATTTTGTTAATCGTTCCACCTTCTTTTCCTTTCTTCTCCCATTTTCTTTCACCCCTCTCGAATCGATTCGGACATGCTCCGATTTTTTCTCCACTAGACAACCAACGAAGAAAAAGGTAAAAACGCTTTTGTTTTTCTTCTTCTTGGTCCGTTTGGTTGCTGGGGAAAATAATGTCCATGGATTTCTGATGTGATGTGGTTTCTTAGACTAGCAGCTGGTTGCTGGCTTTCAAGATTTGGGGGTTTACTTTACTCACCCGATTCGATTCGATTCGATTCGATTCCATGTGATGTGGGTTTTTAGTGTAAACTTCCTACTTGTACTCGGTGTTTCCTGCGTTTGGTTGCTGAGGAAAATAATGTCCACGGATCACATTTTGACTTTGCGTTGCTCTCTGTTGAGTTTTGATATTTACAAGATCCGTTGTTGATTTTATTTTCTTTTTCAATTGTCCTGATGCAGTTTTGAATTTCTTTTTCTTTGTGAAAAGCAGCAACTAAGGATTAACCACGGCTAGTGGTTCAAAAATGGCGTCCAGATCGTTTAAGCCGAGCCGCTCGGATATGTCATCAAACTCTGATATGCCTGATTCCAACAACAAGACTCCAGTCCCTCCAACTGTGACATTTGGCCGCAGAACGTCCTCGGGTCGCTACATCAGCTACTCCAGGGATGATCTCGACAGTGAACTTGGGAGTGGTGAGTATATGAACTATACAGTGCACATACCACCAACCCCGGATAACCAGCCCATGGATCCATCCATCTCACAGAAGGTTGAAGAGCAATATGTGTCCAATTCCCTTTTTACGGGCGGATTTAATAGTGTTACGCGAGCTCATCTTATGGACAAGGTGATCGAATCTGAAACAAACCATCCTCAGATGGCTGGTGCTAAAGGTTCATCATGTGCAATTCCTGGCTGTGATGCAAAGGTGATGAGCGATGGACGCGGGGAGGATATTCTTCCTTGTGAGTGTGATTACAAAATATGCCGGGATTGCTATACAGATGCTGTGAAAACTGGGGGTGGTATTTGCCCTGGATGCAAGGAACCGTACAAAATCACAGATTTGGATGATGTGGGTGCGGATAACGATGCACGGCCACCGCTCCCACTTCCTCTGCCAAAAGTATTGTCTAAAAATGAGAGGAGATTGTCCCTGATGAAGTCAACAAAGTCAGTGCTAACAAGGAGTCAAACTGGGGATTTTGATCACAACCGGTGGCTCTTTGAAACAAAGGGAACTTATGGGTATGGGAATGCCATATGGCCCAAGGAGGGAGGTTTTGGAGATGATAAAGAAGATGAAGTCGTTGATAGAGCAGAGTTGTTTAACAAACCATGGAGGCCACTCACGCGGAAAATAAAAATACCTGCAGCTATTATAAGCCCGTATAGGTACATATCTTACCTTATGCTTGTCCACTCTTTACCTCCTTAGCTAAAGATATACTAGGTTATGATGGCAATCTCATATGCAAAACTTTAAACTTCAACACATCACCATGCCACATCTGACTTTCGTTGAGATGCATTTCTACATTAAGTGATAAGAAGATCCCTAGAGTACACATATGTAGTCCCATGACTGTAAGCGTAAGGTAGTGATCACATGTGATCAATGG